GCAGAACTACTTACAGTTTGTCCATTAGAATACAGAGTCTGACAAGGAAAGATAAATTAAGTCTTATTCATTGACTAGGATAAGTTTAACTTAAATTACCTGTGAACATTTTATCATTACATAAAAGTTCCAGCATTTTAATTTCTTCACAGATCACATCCTCTTCAAGCATACCAAAGAGTTAAATCTTTCCTCACTTAGCTAAAACTATGCAGGTAAAAGAATACCTGAGAACATCCAACATATATATACAATGCACCTTGACCTAGCCTATATGTTTTTTGAGCTACTAGCAAATAAATTGCCATCAAACCCAACATAAATTGATGAAAAAAATATTTCAAATGTTTTTTTTCAAAAATTCAGAAAAGTCACCTAGCAGAGAGTAGGTTTCCTCTTTCACTTTCTGACACACAATACAAATACATTCATATATATCTTACATTTAGAGATGCAGAGACATAACAGATGCTGACAAGGTCATATATCTCTGTCACATGTATATAGTCACATGTATATAATATTAGTTGTTCTTCTGATTTGTATGTAATTTTCGTCTCTTCAGATTATTTCCCCATGGCACGTGACATATAAAACGACACTTAAATTACAGTCTGAGGTTTTGTTATGGTAATTGTTAAGGTAATGACTACACACAGGTAACCAGGTCACTTAAACTTTGCAGACAGCTTAACTTGAGTCTAGCGAGATTCTAGACAAGAACTGGGACATATGCATTATGCAGTTCAATTATATGAGATCAGAAATCACAAGTAAACCATGTGCCAGTTCATGTAAAGCCATCATTTGATAACCAATGTGATTAGAAAGTATTTCACAACATTTACATTTGCAATTAAAATGAAGAATAAGAAATTGAGCCCCGAGTTCTTTGCAAAAGATGGCTTATATTATTATTAAAATTGTCCTATTCACATTCATATTTTTTATGGACAAGCGCTTCAACATCTAGTCAGTCACAAACTGACTTTAACAGAATAAATACATTTCATAGTTGTAATAATAGATATCTAAAAAATATAATAATAAGGCCTAAAGTTTTCAAACCCTGCAAAGTTAAAACTGATGCCTCACATTATAAATGTGTGAATTTATCTTTTTTTTTTTCAAATAAAAATTTAAACGAAAAGTTAGTATACTTACTGTGGAGTCATGGAACTGTCTTGATGCAAATGAGGAACTAGGGAGAAATTGCTGCAAAATATAATAATATTGCTCATCACATTTTCTATTTGAAAAAAAATAGTCCTAATACTGAGGTAGTGAATTTATTATCTACTGACAATTATACCTTTAAGGCAAAAAAGGGGTGCTAGAAGCTTGTACCCCTGTAATAGCACCAGTTTTGGACTCTGCACCATCAAAGTCATACATATAGAGCTACAGATACAGAGCAAATAAAACTCTTCCAACAACATTCTCTAAAGATTTTTAAAGAGCCCTTAAAATGAAAAATAAGTAGTGCATAGAGAATTTCATCCATATCTGACAATTTCCCATGGCAATGCGAACGCATAAATAATGCCATTATGACAAATTGTGGTTTTGACCTTGACTGGGTCCAAATTAGTCTGGGGTTTGAGATAAAAATCAATAAAAACTAAGAGATAAAAAGGCCGAATATGCAGGCAGATACGGAAAATAACATGTCTCCTTCACTCTATAACAGTAGTGGGGGATGTCACTTTCAAAATCTTACAAAAACAGTCAACCGGAAAGTCGCGGAAAACCGGCCGGCGACAGCCAAGGTAAAATATAGGTGTCAACAAGTACAAGACATTCAAAACTTTGTAGCTCCCACAGGCGGCATTACAATCCAACATCCACACGATTTTCATTCGCATTTTCATCTCAATCGCCTACCTTTGAATGCGCACCAAATCGTCTCGCAACAACACGAAAGAGGGCCATACTTTTGAACTTCTGAGAACCCTGTGCTACGAGTGACCCTCACGTTTCAACACCAGCTGAAAGGACGCACAGACAGACAAAGCTCGGGCATGCGCAGTGATACCAGTAATTAGGTTAATGTAAAAAGGTCGGCATGAGCTGTCAAGAGACCCCGGAAATAGTTCTAGCTGTTTGTGGGTAGAAATTCTTGCAGACAATTTATAGCACAGCATTACGTCATAAGATCGCAGGTGAGTAGCAATTTGGTGAGATTAACAGACGTATTCGTTCTTTATTTTTTAAATGAAAAAAATGCGAACATTGTAACTTACATCCCTGCTTCACGCATAGAAAGTGAAAGTGATATATGACCCGGTTGCTGGTGAAATTTTTCCATTCCCACTACTGGCTGTCAGTCGCCCATATGCACGCCTACATTTGTTCTGAATTATGATAATATCCTCATTAAAACGTTCTATGGGAAAATAGTTAAATCTAACAGTAACGATATATAAGGTCTTCTAGATCTGACTTGCACAGATATGGGGTAAATTGGGTGCCTGGCTAATTTCTAGCCTTTCGATCTGGCCTTTCTGCCTTTTTGGCCTGCAATGATAATGAATGAGACGTATCACTATCAGCCATTGTTTGTTTTTCTGACACACATCAGGTGATGATTGGGTGTCAACAACTTCAAATTACTTCAAGTTGATATCAATATTATATATTGAGGAATGTTTTTGTGTCAATCACATACGCCCACACGTGCTTAATTGCTGAATCAGATCTACCTGTAGATGTTAATTGCATCTGGTTGTAGAAGAGTATACATTATTAGGAGCATAGAAGTAATTTCCTGTGAAGGAAGTATGGGAGTTGAATACCAATACAGATTACATTGCTTGAATTCACATTAGTCAAATACAGTACGTGGGTATACATTGTAGGTACATGCAATATTGATACGTACAGGTCTATATAATTTGTGTGATGGCAGAACAAGCCAGCTTCCAAGACTTCCATCCCCTTTTCACCCTCTTCCATAGTAACAAAATACTTGGAAACCATACTGCTAATAGGTCAACTTCCAGAAATCTTCATGGCCTTTGGCCTTTGATCATTTTTTTTCTCCTTTGTGGTGAGGGATAAAGGCTGAATTTGCAATTTGTTTTGTTTGGTAAGTGGCCCAAGCCCCTCCCCCTTTTTCAGTGTTGGCTAAAGGGGCAAAATTAGATATGATTCCTATGACATCTTCAGCAGTGGATAAATTAATATGCATCATATGCTCAGTGCTTCCACCAAAATGGCCAGAAGAAAAGGCCCAGATTGTGAAAAATAACATGCAACCCATTAGGAAATGGTGAGTTGCATTTCCACCAATATTTCATGATATTGCAAATACCAACTCGTTTAAATGCCATAGAAATGGTAATTCAGGTATAGATCCCAATGTATCTGCTCATATAAATTCTAGATAATGTGTAAGATGGTGGAAAAGCATTGGTTTTAAAAAAACTAAGAGGTTTCTACACGACTATTGGGAACTGGATATCTTGTAATGGATTACAGAGTTTGGCCATGTGCAGAACCATCAGTAACTGAATATTATAACATGGCCTGGCTATTTATAATTGGGTAGAACATCTGGTATTATTCTAGGAATGGCAGAAGATCTGGCCAGCTTGTCTTGTGATTCCTTTGTTGCCTTGCCACCAGCCACTAGGGATGGGTTGATCATTTATGGGAAGAATTCTGACCGCCCCAGGAGTGAAGTCCAGGAATTCATTTACTGCCCTGCTGCTGACCATGCTGAAGGAACCAAGCTGAAGGTAAACTTCTCTCTCTGAATGTGTGTGTGTGTGTGTGTGACTCCAATAAATTTTGATTTTCTAGACTGGAATGAATAGCATATTTTGCTTCTATTAATAAATTTTTTGGTTTTAAGTAAATGGAAGTTGAAAAATATTTAGATATATCTGTAGCTGCCATACCAGTACCTTTAATTGTATTGGAATTTAAAGAAAAATCTTAACATTCTATAAGTTTGAAGACAATAGACAAAATTGAATATTTCCAGTGCACGTACATAGAAATAGACCAAGTTGCTCACACCCATGCCGTGGCCCTAAGTAAGCCAGCCTGGATGTGGGGCGCTGAGATGGGCGCCAATGAACATGGCGTCTGTATTGGGAACGAGGCAGTGTTCACCAAGTTGCAAGGACCAGATGACTCCACGGAGAGATTGCTAGGGATGGATCTTGTCAGGTGAAATTTAAAGGGATAATAACTCTTCGTTTTGGCCAAAAAATTAATTTTCCTTGAGTAAACAACAATTTTCCCATACTTAACAATGGTTAATGAATCCATTTCTACATTCAATGTTAGTCCCTGTTTTTTTTTTTTTTTTTTTTTGTAATAATCTCTTAAGAGATTTTAACAGAGTAATGTATAGCCATCTATGGAGGTCACGTGGTCTAAAGACCAGCTCAGATATCAGAACAATAGCTATATCGATCTGCCGTTTTTGTGGTGAAACAGAATATGTTATACTTCTATAAGTTGTTTACAGCAATGTTTTTATTTTGAAATATAGTTCTCATACGAAGAGTTACTATCCCTTTGACCTTGATCACAACCAGACTGTCCTTTTCACTTTGACTGGTATACTCTAGTGATACAGTCTGTACTCTAGCTCTGAGAGGTCAGCTAGACTGATCAAATTCTCTCAAAGTGCAGTACAGCCAGTGGCACTGAAGTACATGTATCATGTTCAGTATGAAAAGGGCCATCCCTAACAAAAAATTCCCTATACTGCCTATAGGACCTCTATAGGACTCTATTGGACTCCATGGGAATTCTACAGGAATCTTTGGGCTGATGGAAAACTATAGGAAGTTCAATAGTATTCCTATCTACATTGTAGGACATACACCTGTATGTCCTGTAGGATGCTATAGGGTTTTCAGCCAATCATGACTTCCTGTAGGACCCTATAGGAAATTTCTGTTAGGGAATTAAGCTGCATTTGTCTTAAAGTTAGGACTGCCCTATCTATAAAGTATTATTCTTCTCTTTGATTTGTCTGATAACTATAACGTATGATTATAATAAACAGCGAGCAGGGTAATGGGTGGGAGACCAGAAGCATGAGATATATCCAACATGAATTCCAGTTTAATCTTTTAGACTGGGACTAGAGAGGGCAGCCAGCGCAGAGGCCGCCATGAAGGTGGTCAGTGGTCTACTGGAGCAGTATGGTCAAGGGGGAATGTGCTTCGAGGACCCTGACCACCAGAACTTTACCTATCACAACAGCTTCCTGATAGTTGACCGCACAGAGGCCTGGGTGCTGGAGACGGCTGGTCAGCTGTGGGCAGCAAAGAAAGTGACCAGTGAGTATATATATATAATTACATATATGTATTTGCACATGGAAGTTTCATGGAATCTAAAGGTGCAGAGCTGATCACCATAGGGAGCATTTACATCGAGAACAGCCGAGGTCTAGTAAGACCGTAACCTTATATGGCGGACCTACATGAAAGGAAGACTGCTTAATCCATTAATGGTCTCTCTGCTTCTCACACGCCTCCCCTGCAGGGGCACAATTCGACAGGTCGAGGGGCGATGCCTGGGGAGCTGTGTGTGAGGCGGAGAGACCATTACAGGATTAAGCGGTTTCCCTTTCATGTAGGTCCGCCATACTAAGGTTGCAGCCTTATTAGACTTCAGCTCTTCTCGATGTGATTGCTCCCATAGACAGCAATTTTTAATCCTCTAGTTCTTTTCAACTTATCTGTCTAGCACATGTACAGAGCCTCTATATGGTAAGCTGTGGAGGTTATTTGACACAATCTCATGAAAAAATGCGTCCCACTTCCCGACATCGAGATGTAAATTGTGATAAGGGGGGAATGGTTAAATCACATGTCTCTTTCTTTTAAAAACATTTACTTGTTATTCTTGCTCAACTCAGTTGCAAACTCGGTTCCTGTTGTTCCACAGGTGGCGTCCACAATATCTCCAACCTATTGACCATAGGCACAGAGATAGATGCCATGTCTGCAGGACTCAAAGAACACGCTGAGAAAAATGGCTACTGGAAACCAGAAGACGGACCCTTGGACTTCGCCAAGGCCTATGCTATCCCGCCTACCATCCCTCTACCTCCCATTGCTGAGCCGCAGCGCCGCTTGACATGTGGGAAGGAATTGATGGAGAAATATGCAGAGGGAGGTATATATCTTAATTACAGGATATGTGCAATTAAATTATACATTTAAGGCTATGAAATTTTCTTAAATTTTTTTTATGATCTTTGCAAGACTTGGTTAAAATTTAATTGTCTTAATGGACTGTCTGTCATTTTATGTTTTTTTTCCCTTTCAAATACTCTCCTGACCTGATACTTGGTTTTGTAGGGACCAGCATATACACTGGAAACTATACACCACATTGATCTGCATTTGACTTTGACTTTTCATTTCAGGTAACTTTTCCCTGAGCAGTATGTTTCAAGTGCTGAAAGACGAGGACAGTGGTATCTGTGCTGTGAGAGAGAAGATTATCACAGCGGGCAGTATGGTGTCCGTTCTCACACCACCAAGTGCCACAATACCCTGCACTCACTGGTTCACTGCCACCCCATTCCCTGACAAATCCTTCTTCAAGCCTTTTGTATTCTGCCCAGACATCAAGGTAGGTGGTTCTGGGGGATACGGTAATTACCAGAAAAATTAAAAATTTCCAGATTTATCCAGAAACCCTGATATTTGTTAAACAAATATAAAAAATGTTCTCTGGACACCCCAAATATGGCTGCGCACCTTCTGTGCTTGTGTTTCTAGGATTTTTTTAATAGGCCACTTGAATCTTTTACAGAAAAAAAATTGATGAAATAATTTTGTTTTCCCAAAAAATTTATTTGTAGCAAAATCTGATGATAGTTTGTAAGTGCATTGGCAACAATGTAATGTAATAAGTGTAATTTTCTTGGTACTTAAAAAATGGTAAAATCATTTAAAAAACAAAATAATGGCGTTAACTAGAGAGATGCTTTAATTAAAAACGTCACATGCATATATTACCAAACTTGTGATTTCAGCTTGGGGAGTTGACCAAATCCCCCGACTATGGTGACAAGGACCCTGCCCGCCAGTCTCCACGCTTCCAAGAGACGGTGGACCGCGTCCACAAATTGTACGCGTCACATGCGTTAGGTCTGAAGAAAAGCGCGAAGGATCTCGAGTCGAGGCTGTCACTTCTGCACCAGCTGCAGGAGGAATGTATCGAGGGCGTGGAGGAATTTCTTCAAGATTATAAGCCAGAAAAGTCCAGCGAGCTGACAGATCTTTTCCAAAATTGTGTGGAGTCGGAGTTAATTCTCTGGAAGTAAACAGTCCAGGCACACAAATTTGCCCAGTGATGCATGGGAGCTGTTCACATTGGGTTCAACTTAGACCTGTTTACGGTACCAGATAGCTTGACTGCTTCAAACTCTTCCAAACGAGGTTTAAGATTTTAAGATATGATGGATGTCTCTTTGTAGATTCCATTTTGAACTGTATGTGTGATGAATATTTAGAAAAAATTGGGGTTTAAGTTAAACCTGTTGTGATTGGTCAGTGAAGTGGTATCCTTCATCTGTTTGCTGACGTTTTAAGTTTAACCTGTTGTGATTGGTCAGTAAAGCAGTGTCAATCATCTGTTTGCTGAGAGTTTGCTTTCCTTGCCACAGTTTTCAATTATCTCTATGCCATATGCTTTCATGTTAATATTGACATATCAAGAAGGTCAGCGTAACCATGACAACTGCTAAGAGTATTGATCAGCTTCCAAGAGCAGGTGCTTGGATTTAAAAATAAACAAGCTCATGGACTAAGACCCCATTCTCATACCTAGATCAATCTAGCGGGATCGGTCCATCTCCGAAGAAATTCTCGCTAAATTGCACTTAGCTAAAGTGGCTTAGCAGTCTGCATGGCATGCCTACTGCAGCTGCTAAACGATATTTAATTCCCCTCGAACAGCTTCAGTAGGAGTGCCAGACATCAGAGCTGCTTAAGATGAGTGCAATCTAGCGAGAATCCCCTCAGAGATGGACTGTTCCCACTAGATCAATCTAGTTATGGGAATATTGGGTCTAAGAATAAAGTTCATGTACTGTCACTTTGATGTGATAGTCTTTCATGCATGGCCATGCAAAGTGTGATACTACACTGTATACTTAAGTCTTTTGCAGCCTATACATGTACATGTATTAAATTTGAAAACTCAACGTGCTAATGTAAAATGTTTGGTTGAGTAGGGGGTGGGGTAGGGGTGGGTTAAAAGAGGAGCATTGCAATAATGTTGAATGGGTGGGGTCAGAGGAGGAGAAACAGGTAATGCTTTCTCTGTAAATAAATTGTGCAATTACTTACATGCATACAGTATTTATGTCAGAGAGTTCAAAACCAAAGAACCACAAAAATTTTTGCATGTGAAAACTAAAAGGTCAACACCCAGGATCTTTGAATTAAAGGTATAAACTAGATTTTCTAGGGTCCATTAATTAACATGTCTTGCATGGTAGTATTATATAAACAATTTGAAGCATGAAGAGTGTAGAAATGGGGTTGGGGTGGTGGTGGGGGGGGGGTAGGGACATATGCTTAGGGTCTCATTCCCAATTAAACCTGTTCTGCCTAGATCGATCCGATGGGGACTCATGCTGAATGCAGTCAAGCTAAGAGATAAACGCCCATCCTGGCATTGAGGAGAATACAGAAAAGCAGATGATGAGGGGTGTTGATCTGGTAATCTGATTGCATTCAGCAAGAGTCCCCAGTCAGTTGGAGCAATCTACATGGAACGATAGTTGCATATTGGAAATAAGTTTTACACTTAACCAACCTATGGTCATAGTAAGAGGCCAATATTCATCCAACATCCTGGTAGTTCCTCTACTTAGAGCAGTGAATACCCCGAGAATCAGAATACTGCTGGCAACACTAAGATATGCTGATATGAAATTCTGGTGTCTAATAGACTCTGATACTCGGGGCATGCAGGACAATCATAGGAATTATGAAAGTAGGAAATATTTAAAATATCCAGTAGAATAGTTACATACAATATGTGCAGTGCATTTGTATTTGAATTGCATGTAACGAATGTAAGATGATGTACAACTAGTCGAGTAAGTTATTGTATATTTTATTGAATGCATCGTACTTTTTTTAAAATTTATTTTTTAAAGTAAATATATGTGTCATTGTTATATGAATTTCTTTTAAGCAAGGACTACGTAATATTTTCCTTATGAAACTTGTCATGCATTTACTGATATAAGGCAAAGTTAGGTCACAATCTCTAATTACACTTTGTGAAATAGTTTCTGGTTGGAAAAGTGTTCTTACGGTTTAACCGATGTTGTAGTCAGTGTGACAAGATGCATCTACGCAAAACCACACCTTTTTTATTGCTATTAGAATACTGATAGCAGAGGTCATTGTCTAGCAAATTTTAAAAATCTGGGGTGCTTGAAGACCCAAAGCATGATTATCAGTGACGTGAAGTTCAATTTGAATTGCTCGACAATCAAAGACTTTCGTTAATGTCCTTTTTGTCAACATTTTGTTATGCAGTCAGCTTTATTTTTGTAACTTACATCTGGTTTGCTTATTGTGCAATAAATATATGGTGCTTCTTGTTAATTGTTTTCCCATTATTTTTTAATTTTTAATAATCTTGAATAATGAGTTTTGCATCCAAACATTATAAGTCAACATAAAATTCATAAAGTCAACAAATGATGCTGGAATTGCCTTCTTACTGCAAAAAATGATAAAACTAAAAAAATTAATTTTTAAAGATTTTATTTAGATGCCCTTTTAATTAAATTTAGAGAAATTTGGAAAAAAAAAGAAAAGGAACAAATGGGATTTTCAAACACTATGAACATATGTTTTGGAACAAGTTCCTACTACCAGAAAATTGGAAAAAAACATGGTCCAGAAATATAGGTGAATCTATCTGAAAATCTTCCATCCAGGCCGAGTTAGAGTTGAGTTAAACTGGACATTTTTAACATGACTGTCAAAAGTATCTTAGATCTTAGGGACTTGTCTCCTAAAACTAATGGCATAGTTCCCTCTCATGAAATGGTGATATTGAAGAGCAAAGCTTTCTCGAAATTACAGTTAGTCTGGTATAATTACAAAATCTTGAGGCCTAATGTTTTTTGTCTTGACTACTAGCACTTGTCTTGTCACTGGCAATTCAAACAATAAAGACATGACCGTTGCCTTCCATCTTTGTCTCCCGTCTCTGAACTGAAGTCCATGACCCGACTGAAAGTTTAACATATGTACAACATCTTTTTCTCAGATATTTTACCCAAAGAAATACGTCCTGACTACTAGTAAGCAGTGCTGAAGGAAAATAAGGAAACTCATTTCAAACAACACTTGCTGGTCAAATCATCAATAATCAAAATATTAAATAGGTGCAAATGTTTTTTCTGTCTAAACTGTATTTGTTACTACATCTTCTGAATGTCAAATATTTGTTCACTGAGGCGGAGGAGGCCCGCCAGGCATTGCCATCATTGGCATCGCATTCTGGGGGACATTACTGCTGGAAAAGGCGGCGTGAGGGCCCAGCAACATCTGTCGCTCCTGCTGCTTTTGTTGATTCGCCATGTTCATCCTTTCCAACTCTAACTGCGCTGGCACGACAGTTATCAGAACAGTCACCATGCCGACCCACAAAGCTTTCCGGCTGAATCCGTAAGCGGACTTGACTCCGTCCCAGGAATTCTCCAGAATCCACCCAACTCCATTACGTACACTTTCTGGAAACATTTCAGTCAGACCGATTAGTCTTTCTGTCAAAGTCTCATCTAATTCCTCGTCGTCATCGTCTGCTTCGACATCCTGAGGTCTAGCAAGAGTCTTTTTCTCGGGGCTTTTAGTAACCGTGTCGTCATCTTTCTTTGGTTCCGATTCTTGGGAGCCGACATTCGGTGCACTGCCTGTAAGATCTAGCCCGCTGTCTGCGTCTTCTTCTTTTATTGTCGGCATTTTTCCTTCCGGATTCTCGATTAACTTTCTCTATCTATATAAAGTATATATAAGCTTCTTTTCCCTTATAATTCCACGGTTTGTTAGGCGATGCTCCAACCACGCCGTTATATGACGACAGTTCAGCAGAAAATCACTACAGCCGAGCACTCGAAGCGCAACTACCACACTCACGGGTCGATTTCAGTCACAACTACCGCAATCATCACTGTTGTGCTGTTACTTCCTCATGCCCTCGTTTGACACTTGGTCCCAACTACAACAATGCTCGCCCCTATTTACGTGAAGAGGTACGTATAAATCCTGACCTAAATTTTCAAAGATTAAACACGATTATTCAACGTGCCTCCGGCTTTATCTCCACCGGCTATATATAGTGGACATTGTCCCATTGAAGGTAAGGATGTGCAAAGAAAAGATATAAATATATGTAACTTACAACAGAATTTATGTGATATTGACATTTGCACACAATGCCACAACACGTACACAATGCAAGGAATCAATGGAACTGCAAGATATGTCCTTGGAAAGTGCTTGCAGCCTGTTCTGTAAATATTAAATCACCCTTATTTATTTTGCAGGCCACAGCATAGTGTGTGTACTAGTTAATCCATGCAGCAGTAGTAAGAGAAGATGAGCTTGCCAGTGACCTATGTTGAGGGCTTCCATGATGTGGATTTGGTGAAGAAGATGCAATATGTACAGCTGGGAAAAACTGACATGCATGTGTCACGGCTCAGCTTAGGTATAAATTGAGGAAGCTAATTAGCTCTCATTAAGTTTCCTTTAATGTATTTATTTATTTACTGTTAATTTATATTCACTTTGATCTTTTGTCTAATTATAATTTGATTTGAAACATGCACATCATCCAAACTTTTCAATAACTACAAAACCAGACTATGCTAAACCAAATTATATATGGTGGCTATGCAGACCCATTTGAATGCTTCTAAACTTTCTTAATTTTGTTGTCATTTTGTTCATTTTAACAGATTTAATTAGCAGCTTTATTTCACATGCCAAAAACAAAAGTTAAGAATCTTAATTAATTGGTAATTGAATGATGTTAGGTATAATAAACAATATTATGTACTGTATATTTATTTATTTATTTATTTATTTATTTATTTATTTTTTGTAGGCACTTCTGCATTTGGTAGTGTTTTCCGTCAGACAGATGACAAAGAGAGCCATGAGGTGCTGAAAGTGGCCCTGAAGTCGGGGATTAATTATTTGGATTGTGCCCCATGGTACGGACACGGGAAAGCTGAGACTGTACTGGGACAGGTTAGGATAAATGTCGCATTCACAAATGGTCTAACTTAAACCACAAAAAGTCGAAGGCCCCATTCCCATAGACACCATTGGTCTAGGTGGATTGACCCAACTCTGCAGGGACTCTTGCTGAGTGCAATTAGCTCAAGTGAATTAATGACATGCCACCTTCTGGCTTTAAGTGGCATACAGAAGAGCTGGTGATTATATGAATATGGGTAGGTTAGAAACAAGAGGAGGCGTGCCATTTATTTAAGTAAGTTAATTGCACTTAGCCAGAGTCCTAAAATTAGGTCAATGCACACATAATTAGACTGATGGGGTCTGTAGGAAAGGGGTCTGAGTGACATCACCAGATGCCCAGATTGCTAATTAAGTTAAACATGGGATCTGATCATATAATTGTTAATCAATCACTTTATGTTGTGATTTGCTAGTATTAACTGCTGTAACATTGATTATCAAGTATGCACCTATTTTTACAATTTGCCAAGAAATGAAGACAGTAGAGAGTGCAAAAATTGCCCAACAATTCATTATGCAAGTCAAGATTTTTGCCTGGTCAGCTGCAAAAAAAAAAAAAAAAAAAAAAAGATTTAACAACAACTTAATGAGATAAGGTATACTGGTCTATGATGTGGAACTTCTCTGGATTTATATGTCATACATATAGACCCCTTTGGAATGGTATCCGTGGGCACCCTATCCCAAACACCCACTCCTGAGGTGATTTGCTTAAATTAGTTATCAACTTCCCATTGAAATTATCATTCAGTCAATCCAATTCAACAGGGACTCTTACTGAGTGCAATCAGTTTAACAGGCCTCTCACTGAATGCAATAAGTGTAACAGGTTAACATATCTCCCTCTGGCATTGAGCAGAATTACAGAAAAGCTTGTGATTATACGAGTACACTGGAAACAGGAAGAGGCATGTTAATCTGTTAATCTGATTGCATTCAGCGAGAGTCCCCACGGAGTTGGATCGATCTACATAGATAGATAGTTTCAGTGGGAATGATCCCTAAGAAACTAAAATACAATCAAAAAAATAAATAATACAGAATCACATTTTCCTGCAAGAACATATTATATTATACATTCAGGCTCTGAAGTCCATTCCACGCCAGGCCTACTACGTGGCTACCAAGGTAGGACGCTATCTGCCAGAGGCCACCAAGATGTTTGATTTCTCTGCTGAGAGAACCATGAGAAGCGTGGATGAAAGCTTACAGAGACTGGGACTGGAGTATATAGATGTTATACAGGTATATGTAGTATTGTTCACATTAAAATGCTTGTGAACTCTAGTCATATTCACATAAATATAATAGTACCTAGCAGGTTAATTATGCAAACAATTACCAGCCATGTAACTATCCTTGAGATTTCACCACAGGGTCTCAGAGAACCAATTGACTGACTGTTTATCTAAAGACATATCTCTGAATATCTCGTGAAAAATTCCATCTGGCCCAGGTAGAGTGTATATATATTTTAATAAAACCACAAATTATTCAACAATGTCATACAATTATTTAGCACCATCAAAGTGATGCCTAGCACTAACATCCATCTGCTCCGGTAGTGCTGGTTAATTTCTGGGGTATGTTGTTAATATGGGTGTTAGTGCTAAAAGAACTGTGGGTAGTGTTGGTAAAAGCCTAATCCGTTTTTAAGGCCTGAAAATTGATCAGGCTATAAGCAGTGACACATGCCCAGCTCAGCATTGCGTGACTGTACATGTATCTGTATCATGTTTGCTATAGGTACATGACATGGAGTTTGCCCCCAGTCTTGACGTCATCATCAACGAGACACTGCCAGCTCTCCAGAAGTGCAAAGACATGGGTAAAGTCAGGCATATTGGAATCACAGGCTATCCACTGGAAAACTTCAGGTAGGGATCATACTGGTATACCCTCTATTTGTGTGCAATTTTTGCCAGGAGATTTGTGTGATGGATAAGCCAGATATGTATTAAATTTTGTGAATATTTAGTGAAAATCAGTCTGTGACCCAGATAGAAGTATAGGATCCTACCCCGGTAGCTTGTAGGACACGATGGATGTGGTTTGGGGTAGATATGTGTGTTCTGTGCTAGATATGCATTTTAATTTGCTGTATATATGTGGAGCAATATGTAATACCTCAGATACTAAATTTGTATCCCGTATTGCAGAACAGTTCTGGAGAGAAGTACAGTGAAGATAGACACCATTCTCACTTACTGCAGGTGTGCCATGAATGACACTAGTCTCAGGGAGTACTATCCTTATCTGAAGGTTAGTACATGCATGTATATTTATAAGTTTATTATGACTAATGGAGATGGTTCTAAGAAAAAATGAGTGCCAGAGACACACATGTGCTCTCATTTAACTTCCCTAAATAAATGTATTTTATTTCTCAATGAATTTTTTTACCCGTCTGCTTCCATGGATGGAAGAGAAATTTTGATAAATCATTGAAAAAAATCCATTTTTAGTCGAAATATCTGTGCCTCAAATATTTTAATCCCAAATGACCAATTATAACCTTCTTATACAGAAAAACATCCTTTTGTGGTAGTTTGACATTGTGTTTCTGTCATTAGGAGCGTGGTGTTGGTATACTCAATGGCTCCCCAATAGGCATGGGTCTGTTGACTCACAGAGGGCCTGCTGACTGGCATCCAGCTACACAGGAAATACGAGAGAAATGTGCAGAAGCTGCGAGGTATTGTCAGGTAAGGGTCTGTTACAGATGAAAAAAAGGTCAGTTCAGTTCTTTACATGTGACTCAGGACTCGTTCCCAGAGACAGTATTGGTCTATGTAGATCAATCCAGCCCTTCGCGCTCACTCGGTACCAACAGATCCTCGGATCAAATATGGCCAACCCACTTGAATACTTACTGCGTAATCCCCTCCGAGAATCTATTCAGTGTCTAATTGTCTAATTCCTTCTGTTGTGTACAAGCAAGCATTCATTGGGCACAGTGCCACTTATTATTATAATAATATTAGACAAAGACCAAAGTATTATTAAAACAAATTTAAATTGCTTGTTGTTTCTTCATTATTTTATTTTTTAATATTTCAGGAACAAAATGTGGACATTTCTAAACTTGCCATGCAGTTTGCTTTAGAACAGCCAGAACCCCACTCTACCATGTTCAGTACTGCCAGGTTAGTTTCTGTATACATGTCTCGCTAAAATCAGGGGTGGATTGAGGCCGTCTTCTGGGTCTTCCGGAAGATGGTCAGATTTTCAAGTTTACATTGACGGGTATCTAATTTTTTTCTGTCGGAAGATGGTCAAAAATGGAGGATGGATCAACAAAGATAAATTTGGAAGACGGTCAGAAAATATATCTGAATCCGCCCCTGGTAATTTTATCATACACCCAGTTTACAGTGTTACTAATATGATACAAGCTTATTTAAACAAGTTAAAGCAGTTGTTTTACTTCAAAGTTTCAGTCTAAAAAAATCATTGAGTAGTTAATTTTGTTGTTTACTAATATATATTTATCTGAGACCCACAGTTGTCTAACTGACCAGTGGGCAAGAATGTTCATGGCATAAACTGGTATACAATGTGTATGGCTAAACCACATCCCTATTTAAATTATACATCGATGTGTCTTAATATTGTTGCATAGATCTTCTAATGTTTTGTATATTTGTCATGATTTCATGCATAGTCACTGCATACATTGTATAAAATGGTTACATTGCAACTATACTCAGTTTGTTAATTGGTGTGTATCTAAACAATAATTAATTACTAACATTCGTAGTATGATGGTAATCACTCCAATATGTTTTTTTCCTTTAGTTTGGTTAACCTTCAGAAGAACCTTGAAGTTTATTGGAATGGAGTGACAGATGGGGAGAGGAAAGTCATGGAGGAGGTTATGGAGAGGTAGGAGAGGGTTCAACTTAATTTGGTTCTACAAAAAACTTATGTCAGGTTCCGTGGCTAAGAACTAAATTACCATGGTTACATAGTCACATGGGCACATCTTACCCTATCAGGAGCAGTGTAGCAGTACTCTCATGGAAATCTTAGTCAACTAAGCCAAAAAACTGATTTCAGTTTTTCTTTATAAAACCTGCAGTTATCTTCAGTATTTTTGGTCCAAAAGTTTAGACCAGTTTTAGGGCTTTTTGAATCAGACTGGTATAGTTACTGTGAGCTTCATCTCCCAGAAAACCTTTAAAATCTGAGTTAAATTGTAATTTTTTACATAACTTTTAAAGTTGTCTCACCCATTTATTTTGTGAAACATTCCATCTCTGTTGAGGTGTGTTCACATCAAGACTAAATTATGCCACCTGTCAGCCAGATTACATAGAGAAATACAAGACAGACGTCAAACATTACGCAACCTCAAATTATTGTAATAAGCAGAATAGTTGAATGATGATGTAATTATGGCAATTCTTGGCCTAAGTTAGTTCTGGATGTGAATGTGCCCAGTGCCCATCCTCCCCTTGTTTATACTGTAAGCTAGTACATACCAGTAATAATTTAATTTCAGGTTTATGAAACCTTTGAATAATAAACACTGGGAAGGTGTTGAGGTGGCTAAGTACTGGAAGAAAATCCAAAAAGCTTCTGGTCAGTAAGAGACATTTGAGTATAATACATGTAACCTCACTTTTTGTGTATATAAATATTACATTTATCTTTTTGGTCCTACACAACCAAAATAACTTTGACCAAATAAATCACATCATCAAATATTCAAAAGTCTGTTTGAATTAATCTGCAAAGCCAAAGGCTTAATAAATAAACTTAATTTTTCATTTAGAATTTGTGTTTGGAAATATCAGTTTCATGAAAATGATAATTAAATTATACACAAGGACCCCTCCCTCCACCTTCCTTTCTGCTATAAATCAGAACAGAAATGAAATAGCTACAACATATTTTTTACCAGGCAAAATTTTTTTTTATTTATTTATTACTGTATTTTGACTCTTTCTTAGAAAACAATCTTTTTAGGGAAGTGCATAGTTAGATATTTTCACTATATAAAAATTTTGAACCACATCATTGACAGGTTGGATGAAAAACAGCAAGGAAATAGATGTATAATTCCTTGAAAGTAGTTAAATATTTGACACTGAAGTTGAAATATGTTACACGGTGAAGTTAACCCAATTGGATTGTTTCACATTTGGCAAAACTTCACTGTTCATCACTGTTCTGCTCTCTTTCTCATTATTATAATTTTATCTATTTATTATCTGAATTTAATGAATAAATATTTGAATGAATTTTTTTATTTATCTTTTGTAGATTCATGAATACCATAAGCTGCAACCATTGGGAGGGGGTGGAAGAGAAACTCTACTGGAAAGCCATACAAGATGCCAAAAACCTGGGAAAAGACACCTTGCCCAACCTGGGGTGACACACCTACTTAGCAGTACACTAGGGCCTCATTCACAACCAAGTTGATCTAACTAGTCCGCAGATCAAATATGGCACACACTTGACAATGGATTCCAGCCTCCCATGTGTGCCGTCCCAGCAGGAGCAGGGCAATTAATTCTCGCCATGCTTCTCAGTGGATTGCGCCATATTTGATCTGCGGACTAGTTAGTCTGCGGATCAACTATTTCTGAATGCGCCCTAAGCCTTTTGCAGCTAGATGACTAGATGTTAAATTCCTTTGTGTACTGAAGAGCTTGCTGTCCAGTAAACAAAAGAATCAAATCACAGTTCCTCTGAAGATTTTTTTTGGAGAAAGACATTAACACTGTAGTCATGGTAATTTATTTTTAGATTGACTTTCATTTGGGGTCTTGTAGAAAGGAATTTTCTTCAGTGCCATCTAAAATCGTATGATTAATTTATAGTGATATAACTTTGAAAGGCATTCAGTGACATAATTATTATTTTGTGGGATTTCATATGGAGGTATGGGAAGCTGCCATGTTTATTGATCAATATTGAATTATAGGTGATTAATATTAAATGCTATCAGAGATATATCACATCATAATGGTTATGTTACATTATAATGGAGGTGGCTTTTTCTGTGTACCAAAAGAGCAGGGGAATTCTTAGGATGTGGTAAAATGCTCAAATAAATTCTAAATGAAGTGCAAATAAATATTCATAACATTCCATTGTCTAATTGTTTACATATAACTGTATAATTTTGTATTTTGTTATAGTTATACTTTATTTTCAAACATGATTTAATCAGTCAATAAAGGTNGCTCTGTTGAGGTGTGTTCACATCAAGACTAACTTATGCCACCTGTCAGCCAGATTACATAGAGACATACAAGACAGACGTCAAACATTATACAACCTCAAATTATTGTAATAAGAAGAATAGTTGAATGATGTAATTGAGGCAATTCTTGGCCTAAGTTAGTTCTGGATGTGAATGTGCCCAGTGCCCACCCTCCCCTTGTTTATACTGTAAGCTAGTACATACCAGTAATAATTTAATTTCAGGTTTATGAAACCTTTGAATAATAAACACTGGGAAGGTGTTGAGGTGGCTAAGTACTGGAAGAAAATCCAAAAAGCTTCTGGTCAGTAAGAAACATTTGAGTATAATACATGTAACCTCACTTTTTGTGTATATAAATATTACATTTATCTTTTTGGTCCTACACAACCAAAATAACTTTGACCAAATAAATCACATCATCAAATATTCAAAAGTCTGTTTGAATTAATCTGCAAAGCCAAAGGCTTAATAAATAAACTTAATTTATTTTTTAGGGAAGTGCATAGTTAGATATTTTCACTATATAAAAATTTTGAACCACATCATTGACAGGTTGGATGAAAAACAGCAAGGAAATAGATGTATAATTCCTTGAAAGTAGTTAAATATTTGACACTGAAGTTGAAATATGTTACACGGTGAAGTTAACCCAATTGGATTGTTTCACATTTGGCAAAACTTCACTGTTCATCACTGTTCTGCTCTCTTTCTCATTATTATAATTTTATCTATTTATTATCTGAATTTAATGAATAAATATTTGAATGAATTTTTTTATTTATCTTTTGTAGATTCATGAATACCATAAGCTGCAACCATTGGGAGGGGGTGGAAGAGAAACTCTTCTGGAAAGCCATACAAGATGCCAAAAACCTGGGAAAAGACACCTTGCCCAACCTGGGGTGACACACCTACTTAGCAGTACACTAGGGCCTCATTCACAACCAAGTTGATCTAACTAGTCCGCAGATCAAATATGGCGCACACTTGACAATGGATTCCAGCCTCCCATGCGTGCCGTCCCAGCAGGGGCAGGGTTATTAATTCTCGCCATGCTTCTCAGTGGATTGCGCCATATTTGATCTGCGGACTAGTTAGTCTGCGGATCAACTATTTCTGAATGTGCCCTAAGCCTTTTGCAGCTAGATGACTAGATGTTAAATTCCTTTGTGTACTGAAGAGCTTGCTGTCCAGTAAACAAAAGAATCAAATCACAGTTCCTCTGAAGATTTTTTTTGGAGAAAGACATTAACACTGTAGTCATGGTAATTTATTTTTAGATTGACTTTCATTTGGGGTCTTGTAGAAAGGAATTTTCTTCAGTGCCGTCTAAAATCGTATGATTAATTTATAGTGATATAACTTTGAAAGACATTCAGTTACATAATTATTATTTTGTGGAATTTCATATGGAGATATGGGAAGCCACCATGTTTATTGACCAGTATTGAATTATATGTGATTAATATTAAATGCTATCAGAGATATATCACATCATAATGGTTATGTTACATTATAATGGAGGTGCCTTTTTCTGTGTACCAAAAGGGCAGGGGAATTCTTAGGATGTGGTAAAATGCTCAAATAAATTCTAAATGAAGTGCAAATAAATATTCATAACATTCCATTGTCTAATTGTTTACACATAACTGTATAATTTTGTATTTTGTTATAGTTATGCTTTATTTTCAAACATGATTTAATCAGTTAATAAAGGTATATGCAACACATATTGTTTGATGCAATCAAGACCCGAGTCCTTTTACAGGGGCCAATCCAGAGATATTTTCTGACAGTCTTCCAAATTATCTTCGTTGGTCCATCCTCCGTTTTGACCGTCTTCTGACAGAAAACATTAGATACCCGTCAATGTAAACTTAAAAATCTGACCATCTTCTGGAAGATCTGCCCCTGCTTTTACATAAAATGATGAAGTTTTTGGCATAACCAGAACAGCTCAACTCGGGCAACTATGCAATATCTGTGTAAAAGGGTTTTGGCAGTGATTTACAGAAAATGTCTCATATTTATGTAAGTCATTACTCTGAGAAAAGAATTAGGCAGTTGGCGTAATTTTAATTTTGTCTAAGACTGAAAAAGCAAAGTAATCCAGTCTTGAGACTCTTTGGGACACACGGCTTTGCTAAATCCATTTTAATGTTAAAACATAGATTCTGCTAGGAGCATCTTCTGAGGGATCCTTTTTCTCATCATAATCCATAACAAACCATCATAAAATCGGTATAAAAGCAATTTACATTAAATATTTTATTTAAAAAGTCATGGTAAAATTCTAGAGGTTTTTACTGGTTCTCCTGTCCAGTTGGCCTTAATGTGAAGACCTGGGTAGGGGGTAGCTGTTGTATCATTATAGAGATATTTCATACCACAGCTGAGATATGTATGCTGACAGTCAATGAAAACGCATCAGGCAACTTTCTTGTACTTTTTTACCAAGAATTGATTCCAACCATATAAACAAGTACAAATGCACTTGTTTGGTTATAAGAGAGTGGGCTGACCACTAATTCATATTTCACACGAAAACTTATTTTCTTAATGTGCTAAAGGAACTTAAAATATTATTTGATAAATAAATGATGCATTTTTATTGACTGTCAGTATATATTCAAGGCAAAATGCATATTCAGTATACAACAAAATGTCATCCTTCTATAGGGATGAGACTGTCATTTAGTGAAAAAGTCAGAAAACATGGCGTGGGGTCCAGGGGTCCACCAGGGCTAATGATATTTTTGGCTCCCCAAATATGTCAGAAATCCTTCCAGAAATCTCTGTTACTATGTAACTGTAAGAATAAAAATATCTAAAAGCTGACTCTGCATATTTCACAAATCATGAAATGTTTATAATTTATGAAATAAATCATTTTCTCATATTTCTCACATTCTTAATTCAGGGGGTCAATGGTAACGGTCATGAACCACTTCTTGGTCCTGAGTCACCCAATGAATTAAAATTTTCTAAAATCACTCTCTCTGAATATGGCTAGATAGACCCAATTCCGATAAAGGATACTGCGCAAATGACAATGCACCTGTTTCTGTCCTTCCTTTGTGTTCCAAGAATCCCAATTATTGTGTGAAAGACCTTAATAAATATCAATTGTTTTCTCAGATCATTCTGTGAATATGGCTGTGGTCTTTGAAGATACTAAGATCAGTAAGGTTGTCCCACCACTTGTACAAAAAGTTGTCCACAATCAGCTTGAACCATGGTGTAATGAGATGCCCTTCTTTCTCAGCACCAGCTGGAAGATCAAGGATTAAAAGGTGTTAGATTGGTGGTTAGTTATTTGGTGGACATGGGAAATTCTGATGCACTGAGTTCTCCAGCAAATCAACTATAATCCTAACTTTCAAACACCACCAAGTTCAAGTTACCAATGCACTGATATAATACTTTCTGACACTGATTAAAAAAAGTAAACTCTTAAATACATTTTAGATTCAAGTAACATAATATACTTATGAATTAAAAAAAAAAAAAAAACCAAAAAAAAACAACTAATTTTTAAGTCACTAATGGACCTAAACCTTACCTAAAAAGCTTTTCAACTGTTCTTTATTCACATATCTGTAACTTTTGACTTCATTTTGATTGGGTTCCACATCCACGTCAGCCTGGATAAAAAGGATGTAGTCTATTTCATGTTCGCCCCACTTGCCGTCCTTCGGTACATTTCCAGATTGGTAATGAATGCGGGTCAAGTACTGAAACTCTTCCACTGGAACCTGAAACATATTACATAAATGTGGGTCAAATACTGAAACTCTTCCAATGGAACATGAAACATATTACATGAATGCGGGTCAAGTACTGAAACTCTTCCACTGGAACCTGAAACATATTACATGAATGTGGGTCAAATACTGAAACTCTTCCACTGGAACATGAAACATATTACATGAATGTGGGTCAAATACTGAAACTCTTCCACTGGAACATGAAACATATTACATGAATGTGGGTCAAATACTGAAACTCTTCCACTGGAACATGAAACATATTACATGAATGTGGGTCAAATACTGAAACTCCTCCACTGGAACCCGAAACATATTACATAAATGCAGGTCAAATACTGAAACATTTAGTTCAGTTCAGTTTAAGTTCAGTTTGTGATAAGAGGTGCAGATGTGAACATGACAGGCTCAAGGAGGGGGGGTAAAAAGTGGGTCCTTTTTACCCCCTACTAGAACCAACCTCAGAAATGGCACAGAACCTTTAGAGTTCAAATTTTGCTTCAGAGCAGGCATTTTCCTGCCAAAAAGGCAATTTTCTATTGAACCCATAGAAACCATCTGCTTACAAGCATTCTTCAGTCAGATCTTACCTGATGTGGTGGTATGCCCAGCTCGTGCTGTAGCTTCCTCTGTGCTGCCCTCTTTACTCCCAATGCCCTGGTCTCGTCTGTCTCCCCGGGAATGTTCAGAGGGTGGCTGCAGCAGCTGTTTGTAAAATGACCTGAAACGATTGCATTCCTCTTTAAGTTTAACATGAGAACTTTGTTTCAACAGCTTGGGGAAAATGTTGTTAAAGTGTTAATTGCCATTATAAGCAAATTCACTGACACATACAGGCCTAGGGATGAGATTATAGGCAGAAAAATCTCATTACTGTTGTAAGTACCAACATCACCCAAAAAGTAATAAATCTGCCATTAGTCAGAAAAATCTCATCCCTGTACTTTTTCTACAAGTCATGCATGCAGCTAACTAAAATCCCATATCAAGAGAAAATATTTCATTTCTTGATAACTAGTATTTTGACCAACTTGATATGTGATTTTTGGCATGCAGCATTACTTTATATATTCCAATTTATGTTAACATGTTAACTTACTTGGGAATGTGATTTTCTCATCAGACCTCTGCTGTAAGAGAAGTTGCCCACTGCTGTTGAACAAGAACACACTGAAAGCTCTGTGTAGCATGCCTAGTGTAAATTAAAATTTTTCTGTTAAAAACTCTAATACAATATATGAGACATTGCAATCCATAGCATGCTGTATAAATGTTAATTCTTCACTTGTAATATTCTAAGTGAATGACGTTAATTTTTTTTGTATTTGTAAGAACTGTCACATTATCACCAATTATAAGTATTTATAATGATCTTTGATTCAGTTCACTCAAATTTATATTTTCAGATTGATATTGTACCCATCTTAATTGTTGGCTTATATTAATGCAGGATTTCAAGCCTATACTGCTATCAATTTACAAGGCTGTAAAGAATTTTACCTCAGTTTAAGCCCTTACCAATGCTTCTCAAATAATCTGAAGCTAATACAGATCCCAAATTTCACTCACCTTTATTAATGTTTTCTAGTAGATGGCAGTCTTTCTTGCTGGCAGTACCTATATTTTTGTCATTGTCATCTATGAGGATACACTCCTCCTGGAGGAGCTGTACTTGGGTGGCGTCTAGACCTGCTGTTATTTGTGACATGCTGAAATGCCAGTTAACAAAAATATCTTAGCAAAGAAATGGAGAATATATTACATGAAGAGTATGGCTTTACAGAAGGTGTCCATTCATTTTTGTATTAATATTTATTTCTACTAGTACAGTGTGAGTTAAGCCCAATGTTTCAGTTAAATTATGCTGAAAGGAATATTATCATTGTTAAAAACCCATTTAAATTGTTGGAACATCCCAAATCACTTTCTGTCTGCAACAGGACGGTTTTAAAAGCAAATTAAACTCACTTTACTAGCAAGCTAAATATAGAAACTTAAATTGAAAAATAAAACAACACTTTTTAACAAATCACCTTGCTGTCTGGAACCTTCCCTGGAAGAGGCCCCGTCTTAGCAGGTTTTTAAACACCCCGGTCATTTCTTTGTTTACATTTTCTGATCGCCACCGGTGATTTGTTGATTCTCATCGAACGACATCAGCTGATGTGAATAATCGCGTGTTTTAGATCGTAGATCGAAATGGGACAGTGTCTGGTTACTCTTATGTTTTATTTGATCGAGAGAAGATCTTTAAATTAACCATGAGCAATTAAAAATGTAATATTTATATAAATCTGGTTTGTTTCAAATCAACATTATCGATATTCATCAACATATTCTCTCTTCAACAGTTCCAACCTTTCACTTGCAGTCGACTTTACATCCTGGCACTTGTCATGGATGCGCCCTGACGATGGTAAGTGGTTTAATTGCTGACATTTATTTTCCAGCAAAGGCTTTTGTATATTCATATAGATAACTTTATTGTTTTTCACGAAAGATACCAATCCTTAGAAAGTCCTATATTTAAGCAAAATCTGTTCTTTAATGTTGACCGTCTTGTAAAGATTAACGTTAACGCTGATGTGACTCACTATGTTTCAAGGATGTGGTGCAACACTTAATTTGCGATAAGGTATATAACAAGATTGAGTGCTACGCAGATGCTAGGTTATTTCGATTATTTTATGTGTAACCGTACAACTTCACCATGAAAAACCTTTTTGGGAAACACGTTGCAATACAGGTAAATGTGGTTCAGATATTTGACTTGGAAGCTGGGATTCGAGTCGGGCTCAATTTTAATAGTTAAGTTGTCGATATTATGTATTGTATAAATACATTTTATTGAAGGGTTATAAGCAAGTTTAAACTATGATTGGGGAATTCACTGAAAATGTACTGAAAATTGTTAGAAATTGTCAATAATTTATTTGTTAAGAAAAAATATGGCTTGCATATGGGGCATTCTAAAAATAATGTGCAATATATATTCAGTGCAACACAGTCCAATACACTAGAAAAACTCGCCCTGTCGCAAGAAAACACAAGAAATGGCCATACATCAGAAAATTGGGTGATATTGCCCTATGTTGCATATTCTAGTTCATGATTGCTTGAACATTTATCGTACACATGTGCATTTTCAATATATAAAAGACATAAAACATTATATAAATATAGCTTTTGGCTTCAATGAATGTGATATAAATCAAAACAGTATTGAATGTTTTATTCATAAGAATAGTTGTTTATTCTGTAAATATAGGCCTCCAGCCTTGTATTACAATTGTTATTACATAACATTTTTTTTTCATTAAATATTGTATTGTACACTTCAGGAAGCTGGAGTGCCTTGTGGTGTAAACCTGTGGGACCAGACCAAGATTGAAGTCCTGCTGGAAGGACTTAAATTGGCTGGAACACAGGGCGAATTCAACTTAGAAGAACAGGGGGAAAATACACGAGGTATGTGTTGCACAACATGCTGAAATTCCTTTTCTAATATCAGTGATTGGTGAAGAAGTACATCATTGACTTGTATTTCACAAATGGGAAGAATGGGTACTTTAAGAAAAAAAATTCACATTTGTATATGGGGCATTCCATAGTATATATACTATTATTAACGCACTGAAGTACCTATATTAGTATCTGGAAAGAAAAAAGCAAGTTAAAGCAAGGCAAGAGATATTGTCAAACTCACTTCTTATTAGCATTCCCACTGAAAATGACAGAGGATGGAACCAGAGAGTGGGATACAGACACCCTTGCAATCAATTGACTTACTAGTAATTGTATTTGAAACTAAGCTTTTTAAAACATCTTTCAGTTATATCCTTAAAGGAAAAATAATTTTCTCCTTAAAATATTATAACAAATTTTTGGCTGTACTGATTATTTAGTATCATGAATATCCATTTATGTATTCCAGATGATGCAGACATTAATGCTGACAATGTTTTCACAGTCTCTGAGAAAATGCAGTGTTCCATGTGCTCGGTCACATTTGCAGGGAGATCTGAACAGGTATAACTTAATACTAGACCCATTTAATCTTACACAGTCAAAACAAAAAAAGTTCATTATTAGAGGTATTCTGATTAATGATATTTTTATTTTTGTGTGCCCGTGTGACACTTTGTTGATAAAAAATGGAGTTTGTTTGTCTTGGAGTGATATGAGGTCATATTTCTTTGACATTGTATTCTATTGTGGATTCAACATGTTCTTCTCTGTTATTGTATTTATTTATTTTTTTTTTACTTTACAACAGAAAGAACACTACAAAAGTGACTGGCACAGGTTTAACTTAAAACAGAGACTGAAAGACTTGCCTGCTATTACAGAGGACACCTTTGAGGAAATAACTGGTAGGAATTGGTTTCATATGTCTTTCACACAAAAATAAACTCATTCTATTTATTTGTTTTGTTGTTGTTGTTCTATGATGTTTAGTCTGATCCAATTAGCAGATCAGTTTTTGGAAATTTTCTTTTACTCATAAAGTTTGAGTTGGTTTCTAGTATGTAATTGTGTTAATTGGTAGTTGATCGAAAACATCATGTTAGAGTTTTTCATAGATGGAAAGTGTAAAAATTAGTCGGAACATCATTTTTTATTCTGATTCAAAGAACTTTCTTTGATTTTGTAAATAAATTCTGATGATAAATCAAATATATTACGGGCTAATATGAAAGGTCACACCTTCTCTGTGTAATTAAATGTATTTTCTTTCATTGAACCAATAGGAGACATTTCCAGCTTATCTGCTTCAAGTGGCGACTCCTCAGATGAGGATATCTCCATATCTCTGCCTCCAAAATCTGAAGAGTCCATAGCTGAAACAGAGGATGATATTCAAGACAGGAGACATCCAAAGGTTTTCTTCCAGAATGCCAATCAGGAGCTGCTGTCTTTGTACAGATGTGTGCTTCATGGAAAGCAGGTAGGACTGAAGTCATTTTCGTAGTTGGAATAGAAAATCTGAGGTCAAAAAAAAATAAATAAATAAATAAATAAAAATAAAAAGAAAAGTTGGACTTTTTGTTTATTCATTTATGTTTTCATTTGATTTTTTGCAGTATATAAACATGACAGTCCAATCTAGTCGGAACAAAAAGTGTGACCAAAATCTCACTTGGGCAAACAGAAAATTTTGTCAATTTGAAGCCTAAGATTCACCTTAATTTCCACTTCAAATTTGACTAAAATATATTCATATTCATGGTGTTTCAGGCTCCAGTGGCCAGCAGCTCAGAGTACGTTCCTGCTGCACTAAAACTGAGAGATCAGAAGATGTGGGCAATGTTTATGACAGGGGGCGGCCACTTTGCTGGGGCCATTTTCAACGAGTAAGGGCAGATTCCCATTAAAACTTTTGCTCTATGTAGATTGTTCCAACTCTGCAATAAATTTATCTGAATGACAGGCTTCCTTGGGGGTGATAATACATTTACAACACAGGTGCTTTGACACAGGAATTTTCATTGGGAACAGGTCCTTAGAGACTATATGTGTCTTTATGTTTAGCACCTGTTCTGGAAATGTATTATCCAGATTTCTAAAAATGGTTTTCTGACTCTTAGATTAACTGTTCTTGCATGTGCATATTTACCAATACATGCCGGTGCACAAGCACACATGTACACGTATCAAGCAGATGTTAATAATAAAAACACTCTTATTGCAGAGGCAAAGTGGTAGCTCACAAAACCTTCCATCGCTACACTGTCCGCGCCAAACGTGGCACAGCCCAGGATGCGCGAGACGCACAAGGTAATGCACCAAAGTCAGCTGGGGCCACGCTCAGGCGTTACAACATAGCTGCCCTCACGCAGGACATCCAGTCACTGATTGCAACATGGGATGACCAGTTGAAAGAGTGCAGCAAGATATTTTTACGTGCCCCTGGTAATAATAGAATGATTTTCTTTGGAGGAAAGTCTGCTCCATTTAGGAGAAATGATCCCAGGATCAGCTTTATTCCCTTTGCGACGAGAAGGCCAACATTTAAAGAACTTCAGCGGGTATATCACCTGCTGGCTTGTATTACTTCTTATGGTGAGTACTCTGATCGACTAGACTTTAAGCAAAATTTATTTGTATTTCTAATAATTAATTTATTTATATTTCTAATAATTAATGTTTTATTTTTGCAGAAATAAAGGTTATTATGAATAGCTGCCAAGAAAATTGGGCCTATCACCTCAAATGTGTTTATGTGAATAGTTCAAATGCTTAATTTTTAAAAAATATAAAACGCACAATCAGCTGATTTAGAAACACTTGAAAAATGTGAGTAGATACTCTTGCTAAAAAAAACTAAAATACCTTTTAGACTAATACAAATATTGTTGATTGTGATGAACTCCATCTAATAAAATTGAATTTAAGATGTGTTCTTTCAGGACAAGTAGAAGACATACTCCAATATGTTCCCCAGAAGCCACAGGCTAAATCAAATGAAAGCAAAGAGGAGACCACACCTGATGCTGCCAGCACAGAGTTGCCAAGGTCAGCAGGAAGCTCACCATTGAAGAAGAACAGAGAAGGGAAGCAGAGGAAGCAAAAACAGAGGCAGAGAGACCCTGATGAAGATCTGTTGTCGTCGTCTTCTGAGGATGAAGGTATGTGACATTTTAAAATCGTCCCATGCATATAAGTATATGCACGTGTTTATCTGTACATGCACAAACTAATATGTATATCTGTGCATGCACACACTGTGATGCCACATAACCAAATGCATGCATACATGCAGAAAAATTTTTGTCAAGCATACGTATATACAATTCACACAAACACACATTCACACAGAAGTTTTTGTGAGTTTTTAATCTTCATTACAGATTAACTTGAAAAAATTTTAAGTTGCACCAGCACCCTTTTATTAACCCAAAATAATTTGACTCAATATTTTATTTATTCTGCCGCTTAGTGCTATCATAATGATTTACATGTTAAATTGATATAATAGGACACATGTAACGGAAATATGATACCTGTATTTTCCACAGGCCCTATGAGTCTAGTAGAAGAGACACTCACCACTGGAGATCTGAAGGAGTTTCAAGCAACTAGAAAACCTAGGAGAGCAAAGAAGAAGAAAGAGAAAAATGAAGAGGCAGTGAAATCTTCCCCACATGCACAAGGTGTGTAAAGATTTTTACTGACAAACACTTCACATAGAGCATGTATAATGCCCTTTTCACATTAAGTGTTAAATCTTAGTGTTCAATATGTAGTGGTATGTTTTGAGAGCTACTACTGTGTAATTAAAACAAAAGACTTAACATTATGAAGCCAAAAATCATAATTCCAGTATTAGTAAGAATAAAATGGAGTTGAAGAAAGTCTTGTATTTTGTCTGAATTGGCAATTTATTGGTATGTTTAAAGTTCTATTTTATGTTATATTGTTTGGGCTGATATTGGGAACCACAGATTCCACAAAGCTCTCATTGACTTTGTTCTTTGTTTCCTTTTGGAAGTTGATCCATTCTCCGAGATAAAGGACACCCTGTACACGGCATGCAAGATGGGGGACAGTGAAAAGCTGCCTGGCATTTTTTCAAAATTAGAAGCAGGGCAGCCATTTTTAACCCAGGAGAATTCTGGGAAGACTGTCACCATGGAAACTCCCTCAAAAGATTGTTCCGTTGAGGGGGAAGCAGAGGACAAAGCACAGGAATCACAGCCTTCTTTAATGAAGGAAGATCTTAACAACAGTGCTGAGAAGAAAACGCATTTGCAGGATTGTATTGTGGGAGAAGAAATCAAAACCACTGATGAGCCACTTGCGTCAGTACTGAACACATTAGTGGGTGCTCAGCAGGAGACGTTCCTTCATGTAGCAGCCAGGAGTGGTCATTGCGGTGTGATATCTCTACTGCTGGAGGCTGGGGCTGACCCCTCTGTAAAGTAAGCAAGCACCAGTTTCAGAAAAAAATTAAGTCAGTTCCCTGGCTTAGTTGACTAAGATTTCCATGAGAGTGCTGTTACACTGCTCCTGATAGGATAAGATGTGACCATGTTACCTTAAGCTTGGTAATTAAGTTCTTAGCCAGGGAACCTGACCTAAGTTTTTTGTGAAATCGCGGCCAGGATGGACACTATGACCCGTAAAATTTCATTTCCAGACAAGTTGGGTGGATTTATATTAGTCCATACTAACTTGTTTGACTATATGATTATGATTAACTCACCATGCTGATCCATTCCAATTGCAAGTGTCTTGTCTTAATTTCATTGGGCTGTGAAAACATAAGGATTAGATTTTTTTGCCAATGGTGAACTAATCTTAATTAGCTGAGGTGGGTTGAGCTGAGATGGGTTGACCAAAAGTAATAAGTTGAAAGAGTATTTTAATTCAGGTGCTTTGATGATTGATAGAAATCATTCCCATTGGTATTCAAAGACATGTTGCCAATCAAGTTCCTGGAATAATGTTACCGAGATGAATTTTCCCATAAATCCACCATTATATTAAATTATATATTTCCAGAAATAGCAAGGGGCAACTGCCATACAATGTGTCCTCACAAAAAGAAGTAAGAAATGAGTTCAGAAGATTTTTGGCCAGATTTCCTGAAAAATATGACTATGCATCAGCACAGGTGAGAGGAAGAGTAAAGGACCCTTGTCTGACTCAACTTTTTCAACTATTTGAAGAATGTTTGGTGTATTCTCAGTCATATAATAATGTAAAAGCAAATTGTTAAATATCCTGTCTTGTGGCATATTCTTAGATAATATGTGTCTTTATTATGTAATATTAATGTAAATTTATATATAAACTCAATTTGGGGAGGACAAAGACACATGTATTGTTATATTGATCCTTGTACATAAATCAAAGGTATGTATACCTGTTACATTTGATTCTACTAGCCAAAACACCTAGATTAGTAAATAAATTTGAGTGTATCTTGTTCCCTGCTATAGATCCCAGGACCCCTTACTAGTGAGATGGAGGCAGAGAAGAAAACAAGAGAAGCAGAGAGAAGGAAAGCACAGAAGAAAGCAAAGAGGGAAAGATTAAAGGTATTATTTTAAGTACTTCCCACTTGAGATAAAGTTTTGAACTAAAGTCTAGAAAAATTGAAAGAGCAAATTAAAACTGATATTCATAATTGTCAAGGAAGGTTAAAATATTGTAATTCTCTTTCACCCCCACTCTCTGGTTCAATCTAATAAAAATAAATCATGAAATATTTTAAATAATAACAATAATCATTATGGTAATTTGGTTTTTGAGGATGTGAAAGCAGCACAGGCACAGCAACAGGCTGAAGAAGCAGAGAAGAAGAGATTTCTACAGCTTAGTGACAGAGAAAAGGTGAGACAAGATTTTATTTTAAAAAAAAAAGAAAGGAAGATTCAAGTTTGAAATTTTACCTGATATTTATGATGGTAGTATTTATGGTTTTTGCCACTGAATACAGATAAAGTAGATTATTTATATTTCCCAAAACCACTGTTTAAATTTCTCACTTATTCCTAAAAAAAGTTGATTTAAAAGTTCTGAAATGGTGTCTGGGTTCACATCTGGAAGTATATTTTTGTAGGATAGTAAAAACCACATTTTGGGGAAAAAAATGAGATGTTGAAATAAGTGGTGTGGCAGTTGAGAATAATTATGGTACATAGGTTATAATAATTGTCAATGTATTTTACAGAGAGCTCTGGCTGCAGAGAGAAGATTTGTACAGCAGGTGCAGGACACCAGTGGTGAAAGACCAGTGCTAAGGTAACAGATACAAACACACCAGTATGCACAACATACACACAGCACTGATTGGCTTGTGATTTTACTACGGGGGCTACAAGAGTGAAATGCATGGTTGGTGGGGATATTGGGAATTGAATCACAGGACTGAAAAATTATTCCATGCTTTAAAACACAATGTGAATTGAAAAGAATGTATTCTGAGTAATATAGATGTAGTTGTAGGAGTCTTTTATGTGCAGGTTTCACTATAGGTAATCAAAATTTGCTGTTAGGAATATGTAGATTTGAAATTATTTTTCAACTTTTATTTTACTCATTATTATTATTATTATTATTATTATTATTATTATTTGAAATTTTCCAGTCGGTGCTGGCAGTGTGGAGGAGATCTGACAGGAAAGGTGCCCTTTGAATACTCTGACTACAAGTTTTGTACCACCAAGTGTCTGCGACAACACAGGGAGACAACCACGCAAAAATAAGACATACAGCTAAAGATAATTTCTCTTCACACTTGAAATCAGTCCTTATCATTCATTTATTTATTAATTAACTCTCAATTTATTTATTAATTCTTAGTGTATTACCCAGAAGAGAGGAATATTTAATTAATTTTGGTTGTTTCATCACATAAACAAAATTGGTGCTGAAAAATTTGAAAATTACAACACGATATCAATTTGACAGGGTTAACCAAGGCAGGTTATTAGAGGGGAAATTGATTCATCTGTAAATCATATACCATTAATGTTATATCAACTATTCACATATTCAAAATATCAGTGAGAATCTTACTTGCATAATCCTTCATATCATTTGTATATTAAGATAGGAATTGGATACCAAATTGAAATTCATGAAAAACTTTCAGGTCAATTACAGTGCATGTGCAATATTTTCCCCACCAGTGATTTAGATGGAACACTAATCTCAATTTGAAAAGTGCAATGGCAAATATTTGAACCACCAGCTGTGTTAATCCCAGGGTTCTTATTTAAGTCTAGGTATATTAGCGGCTTGGTGTGATTGGATACACTTTTGTTGTGCCTGCAGCTATGGATATTAAAACTTATGGAAATGTGAAAAGACTTGTACAACTGAATTATTGTAGTATGTCATCATGTGAACACATTCAAGATGTATTTTTTTTTTAATTTCAGACAAGTTTTTTTTTGTTTATTAGTATTTATTTATTTAAAAAAGCCAGTATTGTGCATTACAGTGAGGGATATTTTAAAGCAACAAATAGTTTCTACCATGGTATGTTTTATCAGTTGTTTTTACGAGATGGACTTAGGGGAGGAGAAATAAAAGTTGAAATTAAAAGTGCCTGAAAGAGACTGTTTTCTTTTCATCAAAGGTAAGAAAAATTGATAAGTAGATTATAAGTGGCAGCTCATAAACTGCATCAGTACGTGAAAATAATTTTTAAACTTCAAATTTTGGAACCCCTTTGGAGCTGTAGGCAACACGATTCTTAAAACTACCTAATGCCTATAAATTGTATTGACAACTTAAATTTATTCATTCTGAATAGCACTTTGCAATTTTACATTTATATGTTCCTTAAAATGGCATCTCAAAGCAGTAAACAATGCATCAACTATATTCAAAGTACATAAACAATACAATAATTTACAAACTCTTAAATCGAATGGTGGGAGTTTTCTTGAGAAGACTTGGTAAGCTAACACTGATTAGGAACAGAAATGAGGACTCTTTCTCAGTAAGCTAACATGACTTAAAAATTAAAAAGCTATATATGTAATTTACCATGTTCTACTTTATATTGCCACCTTATCAGAATAGGAACAGCAGTTTGCATTGAATGATAATTTAAATCGCACTGGCACTTTCCATTTTGCAAGGAATTTAGTATGTGCTTATTACCTAAAACCCCTTCATAACAATTTCTCTTGCATGCATCTTATATTGCCTGAGCTGCTTAAATTCCCAAGAATCAATGTGGCACGCCCAATATTTGAAGCACTCGCAGTAATAAGAAAAAAAAATGTGCTTCACTTACTACATCATTCAACAACTGATGGCTATAACAATATTAAACAGTTGACAGTAACGGCAATTTTATTTTCAATTCAACAATGAAATGAACTCTTGCTGCATTTATAGGAGACACAAAAAGAATGATAAAAACATCTGCACATCTACAGCAAAATCACAGACTGATTGTGCATCACAATATATAGAAAAGCTCAATGGATGGACTCAAGATAATTGTGAGATGGTATATTAAATATATTTCAAGAACGAATATAAAAATTAATATAAATTCTCACAAGGAATGGCTTTTCTGACCACAATAAGCTTGCTGTATGCATAGACACTACAGGCTCAGCTGTTCTGAAACAAAAAAAAAAGCCCGTTTACGAGATCTATGCTCAAAACCTACAAGGTACAGCTATGTATGATGATGTCAAACAAAAATTGCTTACTTTCAATTTCTATATGACACAGATGAAACAGATTAAACAATCGTCTTGACTGGTATGTGGCAGAGGATGAACTCTAGCTGGAACTTTGCATGGAACCTGGTATTTGCTATGTTGAAACTCCAATCAGAATTTATTTCAAAACCCAATCTTAAAGCATTTTAGGCTGTTATAATAATCTAAAACTTAATACAAAGCCCTGGCAATTATCCATGTTGCACATATTGGGTCCTCAAAGATAACAAATCTACAGTTCCACTCATACCAACAAAATGGGAATGAAAAGGGTAATTCAAGCTGCCGTTTTCACTTTATACAAGTAAACTTAATACACTGTAATGTAATGTTCTATCGATAATTTACAACACCGAGAATGTCCCTCTACAAGTACATGTCCTCTTTGCTACAGTACTAATACTTCAGCACTTAGAAGCCCTGGCTTACCCTAGGTTTACATTAGCATCTATAAATTTATTGCCGAATTTCACATCTTTTACAGATTTGGCTAAGCTTATTATTTGGCTAATAACAAAAAATCTGCTGAATGGACTTCAGTTAGTCTAGTAATTCACACTCTTTAATACAGTAATGACAATACATGTTTAACATGCATTGCAGAACAGTTAATGGCTGCAGCAATAATAACCTAAACCTAAGACTTTGCTATATACAATTGCAATCAACTCTGTTGTACCACTTGCTGCGTACTCTACCAGTCTGTTGTCTATATCTGTATCAGGGATAATTCTACATAGATTTCCTAAATCAATTCACTAGTTTTCAGTGTAACATCAGCTTAAATGTCACTAAAGTTCTGTCTTCAAAAAAATCCTGAAGATAGTTTTTACTTACCTCCGTATCATCTTCCTATGTAAGTTCAATTTTATGATGTTATAAGCTATCTGCTTGAATGATAAAATGATAATTATCGATTGCTTACTTTCTTCCATTCCACAAGATCATTTTTCCTTTGCCCTTCTAAAATGACCGCTCATATATAAATAAATACAAAGACATCTTTATAATGTACAATAAATATGACAAGCACCAATATTGGAATAAAGTCTGTTTTAAATATTTCACAAAATGAGAAAATATATTCCTCAGCTGCTTTGAAAGAAAACATGAAATCAGATTCTTTAAAAATAGCTTTTGTCTCTTTCTCTGTTCCATATAAACTATTGGAGACAATGGAACTTGTAAAGCCCGAGTATCAGTTTTCAAAAAGAGTCCAAGGTGGAAGATATCTCCCAATTTTCTTTTTTTTTTTTTGCCTATAGATAGGTCTGAGGTATGGCAGAAATAATCTAACCCTATGCCACTGTCTCCTGCTCCTCTCCTTTCATAAAAATCCCTGGTTCTGCCAGTGAATTTCTCTTGCTGGAATCATTTGGTTCTAGTCCATCACTGAGGGTGATGTGTTACCTCCTCTGGAATGTGTTCCGACTTCTGTATCCCTGAGTTCCTGAAGTAAACAAAAACAGAAAGGATTCCAATTATTTGTCATTCATAGCACATAAACCCAACAGCACATATTTTACATTTAATTATATATCTATAAGGGGCCATTTAGAACAGAAGATCCAAGTATCAACTGATCCAAAGATCAAATATGGCAGACCCCACATGAAAGGAAGACCGCTTAATCCTGTAATGGTCTCTTCGCCTCTCATACGCCTCCCCACACATCGTCTCTGCAGGGGCACAGTAACTGAATCTTGCTTCCATTCAACTGGGAGGCGTGGGAGAGGCAGAGACACTATTACATTCAGAACAGAGCACTCACTAGTCCAAGGGTCCAATATATTCAGTGTCTATTAGTGGGTTAGATGGCAAGCTTTGTAGTGGGCGTCACCATGTATGATGTGTATGATACGCTCTGAATGTGGCCTCAATATCAATACAATGCTCCTAATCCTAAACATGTAAAAGGCGTCCTCACCTCGTGCCAGCCTGTGCTGTAAGTTCTCCAGTCTCTGGATATAGTCATCATGGAGGGACAGGTCATCTGGGAGGGAGGAGGTGGGCGTGGCCTCGGCTGTGGGTGGGGGAGGGGGGGAGGGCTCCAATGGAGGATCCAGGGCTGTCAGGATTTGCCTGGAAAATAACATCAGTATCAAATAAATAAAAACTTGGTGGAAAAATAATGCAAATAATAGCATCATCTATGGATTGAAGAGGATGAAAATGGCTTTTGCACTTATCCCTGTCTTCTCTGTTGGGAAAAAGGACTGCCACACAGTGATGCCATTCTTTTATAAATGCTGTTTAAAATATTTTCATCAGAATATATTGAGTTAGTACCAGTGTATGAAAAAATTATGCCAATACTAGAATGACAAAATTAGTGTCATTTCCAAAGCATTATTTCTTTTAATTTCAGAGTATCAAATGTCAATCCTAGTGTATCATTGTCAGTTTTTAGGAATCACAAGTCTAATTTCTTAGTCTTACCTGCGTGGCCCTGCACTGCCAGGACTCGTCATCAATTCTGACACGGGAGAAAACCGACTGAGACTAGAGTCCTTGGTGGGTGGGGTGGTCCCTGTATACAGCCTGGAGGTGTGCTGAGTGTACCCTGGATGTGACCTTGAGGTGGGTGGGCTGTGACCTTGGTGTGACCTTGAAGTAGGTGGGCTGTAGTCAGGGGGTGGGGTGTAGCTGTTTGCTGTCGGCATATATCCTCTACCTGCAGAATAGGTTTTACGGCTATTATCAATACTGAATTATTAATTAATCAAATGAACTGTAGGTTTCAATCAATATATTTATTTAACTATATATCCACAATATAAATGCAAGTGATTATATTTCAGCATTAAAATGTGTGTAAACAGAAGTTATAAATCATCATCTGAATCAATTGAGGTTTAAATTAAGTTCAGTTGTCAATCAACCTTTACTCTGAAATCTCAACCAGTATTTCTCACTTACCATTAGGAATAGTTCCTGTCACCACTGGAGACCCCACCTTTGTAGCTCGCTTCCATTTTCTGACTAAAAATTTTAACCTGCAACACAAAATGTTTATATAGCAAAAATTTCCATCTGCAAAATGAAAAGAGCATGTCTTAAATAACTCATCTAAAACATGAAAACATTTGAGTATAGACGATATGAAAAAAATAATATATAGGTTAGATATGAGTTTTTATTATGAAAAGAAAATGCAACTGGAAGGAATACACAAGTACAAAAATAACAGAAAATCAAGCTAATGAAGATGTCAAGACTTGAGTTATTACCATACTGATTGACTGCTAGGACAATGTACAACTTCAGCAAAATATATCAAGTAAATATAGTGTTTTAAATATGTCAATAATGAGGATACCTGAAAACTACTCGTGCACATGCAATTTTAAAAAAATTAAAAAAGAAAAATAAATCATCTAAATCAGGTGTTCAAAATCTAAGAATTACTACCATACCTGCAGACGGCTATAACCAGCCTGACCGCACTCCTGAACTTGGTCAAGGCTCGTCCGTGACGGGAGCGGGTCAGCGTTGTGGTCTGGGCAGGAGGATGACCGCCCATCCTGGCTATTGTGGCCAGCGTCTCCTCCTCACAGTCTCTGAACCCACCCACCAACAGCAGCAGATACTTCTTCTGGTAGACCAGAGCTTTCCTGAAACTCTCGGCTCTTAGGTATTTCCCATACAGACGCTGCATCTGAAAGTTTGATACAATATCTCATCTTCATTCTGGAGAATTTAATCTTGCTTGTCTGTAAGAACTACATATTTTTACTTCAGTCCAATTTGTTAAACAAATATTTTTATTTTTCTTGTTGGGTCTCTATAATTCTGCTCACCAATGTCATTAAATCAGCTCTATAATTCACTATATTGTTTTGTCAAACAAAGGGACATTAAATGAAGTCCCATAGTAGCTTACTAGTCAAATTTAAGGATTAACTTCTTCAGAGAGAGAGAGAGAAAGAGAGAGAGAGACGGAAAGGTACAGAAATAAATGCCATGCTTTGCTTGTCATATCTACATTAAAACCATTCTCCTCAACAGCCTGTACCTTTTCCCTGACATCAGGATCAGTGGCACCATCTTCAGCTGGTCCACTCTGCAGTCTGTCCAGTCTGAACTGGAGCTGGTTCACCTCCGACTTGCTGCGTATCAAATCCTTCTCTGCAGCACGCAGCGCCATCTGTAGGGAGCTCTTCTCGCGGGACCATTTGGCTCTCTCTGTGGCCAGAATACTCTCCACGGAGTCCAAACTCCTTCGTTCTCTGTGATCTCCACCCTGTATCCAAGGAAACATCGAATTTGTCATATACATTATTTTGTCCTAATGAGCAGCAGAGTTAAAATGTCAAAAATTCTAATAAAAAATGTAGGACTCCTCTTATGAAGAACCCATATTGGCTGCCTGTTGTTCATCACGCCCAACCTAATTATGGTTTGAAATTTAAAATCTCTTTGACCAGTAAATCTTGCCTCTTAGTCCCGTTTGCTCACAGTCTTTCTCCTGGGTTATTCATTGTATTATACCCACTTTACTTTGTGCGCTGTAACCAATTTGCCACCAAATGGCAGTTTATCTTCTAATCCACTGACTGCCCAGAAACAAGATAAGGTTCTTCATGTCAGCTGTAGTTGGTTAATTACTTATGTCAACAAGTCCCTCACAGTATAAATACCCGCGCTAGAAATTTTTCAGTACTTCACATAATTTGAGCATTATATTCATTCAAGACTTAGAATTCTAACTTTACAGGACTTGTACAAGCAAACTTACAGGACTTACGGTAACAATTTTAAAAGAATCACAATAACAAATTTATTTGACTAATAAACTAAGAGCACTTTATATAATTTGAATATTATGTGTGTTCAACACTAGTAATTCTTATTCCAATTAAAATAAACAATCTTTGTGACTTAAAATCAACAATATTATTTTCGAGAAATAGAACTGATAAATATTTGGCAATTTTTTTATTTTTTATTTATTTATTTATTTATTTATTTATTTTTATTTTTATTTTTTTTTTTGCAAAGATAAGTTGCTCTACAGGATATGCAGACACAGAAAATGTGACTTTGGGACATTTTCAAATGCAGAACATATATACCTGAAACATCTCTCTCACCTGTGAGCCTGCCCCCCTTTCTCTGTCTGTATCTCCAGGAATTATACCTTATATATTTTTCTCTCACCTGTGAGCATGCCCCCTTCCCTCCCCCGTCTATATCTCCAGATATTAAACCTTAAACATCTCTCATCTGTGAGCATGCCCCCCCCCCCTTCTTTCTCTCTCTGTCTGTATCTCAAAAAGTTTTACCTTTAACAAATCTCTCACCTGTGAACCTGCCCCCTCTCTCTGTGTATATCTCCAGATCTCCTCCTCCAGGTTTGCCAGCGTGTCCCTCAGCTCCGCCTTCTCCTGACTCAGCCGCGACACGAACGCTGTCAGTTCAGAGTTATGGCGGAGGATTCTCTCATTCAGTATGTGGGCTGGTGGGGAGCCAATGGGCACACTGCCAGGCTGGAAGGTATCATAAGAGTCGCGTTCACAACTTGGGTAAATTATAGAGGTAAATTACTGAGAACTGTATATTTGATGGCACATCCCCCTTGGCAGAGTTGAAAAAAAGATGGAATATTCATTATTTTCTTTTAATTGCACAAGGCGGTTGACTGAAAGTGCCATCTAGTGGCAGGAGAGTCTTGATAATTTGTCTTTTTTAAAAGTATGCATAACAATAATATTTATGCTCAAAATAGTACAGAATAGAACAAAATAGTCACAGAGTAACTAGTACACATCTTTGCTTTCTTCATCAGAAATGTGCCCGTTAAATATTGCACAGGAGCTGAGTTACTGAATGCCTCTCTTTGTGAGTGAAGAGCCACACTATACCTGAGAGTCTAGCAGTAAAGCCGTCTGTATCTGTCCTAGCTCATTAATCATCTCTGCAGCACTCCTCTTAATGGCGTCCACACTACCTACCCTGTCCACGCCTTGACTATCACTACAAATAGTACAGGAGTGAGGTTGTTAATCAGAAACATGAATATTTTACCAGTTTATGATATATGAATATTAGAAATTCATAAACTGCTTCCAACTGTTAGGTCTAATTAAAATTAATCTGGTTAATCGGTGATGTTGACCATGTCTCTCTTAAACAATAGCAAGGCTCCTAAGTTGTCAATCCTTCAAAACACAGAGATAAAAGTAGAGTTCACAATGTGGAAAAAGTGTACATCCAATTTAAATCAAGTGGTGAGATATTCCAAAGACACAGTTAAAACTAGGAGTACTAACACAGTTATTCCTGGGAGTATGAACATAGTTATTCTGAGGAGTACTAACAAAGATATTCCTGGGAGTACTAACACAGTTATTTCTGGGAGTAACTGGGAGTACTCACCGTTCTAGTTTGTCCACCTCCTCCCTGAGCCTGATCACCTGGAGCTGGACCCTCTGACGCAGACTCTCCAGCTGCTTCTTATACAGGTTCAGTTGATCCTTCTTAGGGCTTCCACGGGGACTCTGGGCTGTACTCTCATCCTTAATAAAAATTTAAGCAATTGCAATGTACGTCTTACAGAATAAATGATCCGCATACCCTGTTTGGGTGAACTCTAGGCGTCTAACATTTCATCTATATATAGTAAAAATTTCCAAAACAATCCCTATTACAGGCAAAAATTTGATGACATTGAATTTCACATTCTTAAACACATTGTGTGAACATTTCACAAGCTCACGTGTGATTTTCTGAAATGTATAACTGTGGGCATAATTACAATACCTGAATATCAGGATTAATCCAGAACACTATTGCCACTATCATTTATTATCTTTATAACATATAAATGCTCTGTATTAAAACTATGATGAAAGTGAACCTCCTGAAAATGCAACATTGGGGATTTGGGGGAGGGGGGAGGGGGCATTTTCAAACACACCACCCAAATCTCCAGTACCACCCAGAAGACTTCCATTACTCATCAACTCACCCCTCCAACAGAGTTGTCCATGTGGTCCACCAGGTCATCAGAGGCCCTGGACAGTGCTCTCAACCTCTGCAGGTCTCTCTCCTGGGCAGTCTGGAGCTCAATACGCTGGCTCTCGGACAGCTGACCCTCAAGGTCACTGACACGACTCCGTAGGCGCTGGACCTCTGCATCTGTCTCGTGCTGAAATCAGGAAGAGGGGACTTTATTGTTACTCTGAATGAGGCAGACTAGGTAGACTCAATGAGATATATTTCTGGTCCAGATGTTATAGCTATCTATCACATCATAATTTTTTTTCACAATTAAAAGCCAATCCAATGATATAAAGACTTTTTAAAATTACAATTTCTTGCATTACACAGGCATATTTCATGTTTGTTACTTGTTTTATTAACTCTCTACTTGGCTCCAATCCATCCTAAAAGTATTGGTTTTAGTTTCCAACTTTCATCTCCAGGTTGTTTTGTGGCCTACCCCCCCTAAACCCTTCCTAAATCTTAATCACTATAACCCAAACCATGCCCATGTGTTTATTATGACGTACCTGTCTCTGCCTGTCTTGTTCTCTCTCTCTGTCACTCTCTCTCTGTCTCTGTCTTTCATGCTGTCTTTCCAGATCTCGTTCTTCGTCCTTTTTCATTGCCTTCTCCTTCACAGCTTGCAGGTTCTCCAAGACACGGTCGTGTTCAGACTGGAGCTGGATGGAACGTTCCCGCTCAAAGTCCAGCTGTCTCTGAAGGTCTTGCTTCTGGAGCTAAAAAAATTTAGTAACTACTCAGAAATTGCTAACTGCTCAATATTTCAATAATTTGTTTTCAGCATTAACAATATTCACTCACTCACACTCTTTCTCTGATGTGACTTTTCAAAACTTTCAGATCATCTTTTAAGAATTCACGAATTTTGTTTATAAATTGAGTAAATAAGCCCTATATTAAAGTTCAATATGACATTCCATCGAAAGAATTGAAAAACATGTGAATGAAAGGCATCAAACGGAATCAAAACTGGTACTTCTATCTCTCTCTCTCTCTCACACGCACGCACGCACACCTGTAGGGTATCTATCTGTTTCCTCAGCTGTCTGCTGGCTGATCTTTCCCTCTCCAAGTCCTCTGCAGCTGCTGTCTTAGTGGTCTCCAGGCTCGCACTCAAGCTTGTCACCTGGGGCAACAATAAAGAAATATATAAATAAACAATACATGTAAAACACATTTTATATATTTCCCTCATTGCAGTATAATTTTTCTATATAGTTATTATTTCAGATTTTATAGACCAACTCTGTATTTGAAGTATGTCAGATAACCTGGCCCTTGTGGCCTATGTATCTTGAATATGGCTCTCTCCAGAACAGTCTGCATGTTTTTGAGATATCACTATAAAAACTCTTGACTGCTTATTTGTGGCAACATTCTTTTTATGATAACTGTTGTGGAATATTTATAATTACTGTTGCAAAGTTTCTTTGAAGATTGATTTTGACATGTCTCAACTGACGGAAACCAAAAACCTTAAAGCACTCTTCCATAGCTTAACATCACACTTAGGCATTCACATAAATCTGCATACAACTCGAAAGTCGACTTCCAATTCCCATTTTATTTCTTATTTGTCCCCTCCACGTACCTTATACCTGTCCCTCTCCAGGGCCGCCTGCATGTCCAGAACTTTACTCTTCTCCAGCTCCAGCATGGCCTGCAGGTCAGCTATCAGCGCCCTCTCTCTCAGCGCGGACTCGTTCAGGCTGCTCCTCTCCTCGCTCAGGGCAGTCTGTAACTGGTTGCTGACGCTTTGCTGTCTTTGTAGAGCACTAAAACAAAAGAAGTTTTCTTATGTATAGAGTCATGAGCTTATCTTAGGCAAATTTTTATGTCACAAGTGAAAAAGAGAAAGAAATCCCTGCAGAAGCATAGAGAATGGCACTTATAAAGAAGTTAAATTGAATGAAGAAGGAATTTGGTGAAGAACATAAAATATAATACAAATACATAAACATTAAACATAAATACATTAAAATGTAATGAGAGAATGAAAGTGAAAGACAAAGTTGGGCTTGCTGAATTTAATAATCAGCTTTCGGAAAATTGTTTCGAAATAAAGTATCTTGAATAATAAACTGAACAACATATTTCATCATTTTTCACCATTATAATCAAAGAAACTCGATATGATGGAGTGGAGCAAATAACCTACGTGTTATATTCTTCATTCCTAGCCTTCTCCATCTCCAAGGCTGTCATGAGTTCTGCCACCTTCACCTTGTATTTGTTCTCCAGCTTGCGCGCCTCGTTACCCTGCAGCTCAAGGTCTCTGCGCATGTTTTCCACACACAGCTTTTCCTTCTCATAGCTCGTCCTCACCTCTGTGTGCAGGGCACGCTCCTGATCCAGCTCATATTGAAGTTGCTGAAACGTAACAATGAAGCATCAGCATCATCAGTGCTTATAACTTGGTAATACCTGTGCTGCCATCTAGTGGTTGAACAACAGCAGTTCAGTTATAATTCTGCTGCCAACTGGTGCTTGGACATCAGATGTTTCAATCTGATCATCAACCTTCTGGTGGTTACAGACTTTTATGACCAAGACAATTCTGGTGGTGTAGCAAAAGTGGTTCCAACTAAGTTTTGTTTGTGCTGCCACCTAGAGGACTTCTACTGCCAAGGCTATTTCAGGAGAATGACTCTGCATTTTAACTGATATTTTTTTGCAACTTAATATGCATGTAATATCTGAATACCTCTAATACACACTTGTGATCTTCATTACCTCTATGGTTTTTGTTTCTCTCTCCTTGGAATTGAGACTCCGTCTCCTTTCTTCGTTCAAAGAGTCACTCAGCTGTTTTTTGCTGTACCGCTCATTTTCAAGTTCTTCTTTCAAATGGCGGCTATGAGATTTTTCCTCTTCCAGAGAAGCACTAGAAAATGTAAAGATAAGTTTCCAGTTAGTTTCCAGTTATCTCAGCAGGCCTACTTTTTATTACTGGCTCGCAACAAAAAGTCATTTTATCTCAGCCAATAACTAAACAACAGATAAAGTAATCATTAGACATAACTGGTCCATTTTCTTCAATATGTTTCTTTCAAAGAAGAAAAAAAACAGTGGAACCCAAATGCTTCACAAAGAACCCTTTATTCCTGCTCATAAAAAGAATAAAGTTTCAAAAGAAATTACATTCTCCATCTGAAGAACCCCTGGTTTCCTAATTTCCATGGAGATGTAGTTTTAAAAATGTCTCATGTGCAAGACCACACAAGTCACTATAATAATGCAATACAATTCATTACAATACCAATCAACACAACACAAGGCTGGGACATAGTTACTTACAGCACAGAGGCGTGTTTAATCTGCTGACTGTCTACCGTATCTTTCAGCTTGGAGAGATGGGAAAGAGCCTCGGACAGCTCCAGCTGGAGATCTACGCAGTTACTCTTCTCTCTGCTCAGCTGTCCTGACAGCTCCAGGGTGCGATTCTTCTCCATCTCCAGACTGGAGCGCACGTCATCGCAGATCACCTTCTCCTGCTGGAGCTTGTATTCCAACATTTCCACTGGAATTATCAGAAGCAAGTTGTAAAAATAAATAGAACAGAAGATTATCTGCAGAGAAGTAGTACTGTAAACTTAGACCCCATTTCCAGAGATTAGATCGATCTACTTTAGATTGACCTAACTCCCTGGGGGTTCGTGCTAAATAGCTGTCAGCCGAGCGGACACGAAAGTTAATTACCCCCTTACAGCTTGTAGTAGGCGGGACGGACATTTAAGCCGGATTATCTGACAGTAATCTAGTGAGACTCCCCGCGGGGATAGATCGATCTAAAAGCTCTGGGAATACAGCCTTATATAAATTCAGAAAGTTGAAACTGTTATGAAGACTTTGAATAAATAAATGAATTGCAGCAACACTGATACAAAACTGATACTTTGTGAAGTGAATTTCGACAATTTTAAAAAGAAAATTATGACCGCTTAGGTAAAGTATTTCAAACAAACACTGTCTAATTTGAGAAGCGAATTTTAAAATCCACGACTATTTAGGTAAAGGACTATAAAACCTACGCTGTCTCTTCAACTGCCTCTCCCTCTTGGTCAGCTGACCCTCAGCATGGCGGAGTTGCTCAGCCAGCCTCTCTTTCTCCTCCTGGTGGCCCAGGCGTATGATGCTGATGTGTGCCTGTAGGTCTCGTACCTCTGCCAGCAGGGACTGCCTGTCTGCGCTGAATATCTGGTCCATGGCAGACTTGTGACGAGCATCCTGGAACATCGCAACCAATTATAATGTTTACCATAATAAATATGTATAGACATGGCCTTTAACTTTATACACATACCTCAGGCAAGTTATCAGTGGATTTGAAGTGGCAAAATAGAATTATCAATTATTATGTTTCACGTTCACACACATATATATATACACATGGTCTGCAATTTCAGAAACTTGTCTCAGGCAAGTGACCGATAATTTGCAGTTGAAGTTGCAAAATTGAATTGGCAGACTTGTGGCAAGCTTCCAGGAATATTGTAACCATTATAATCTATCATGTTCGTATGTATAAAAACATTGTGTGCAATTTTAGACACTCCTGTGTCAGGCAAGGGATCAGTAGATTTGAGGCTGAACTGTTAAAATTTTTCACCCACTAAAAATCCTGAAAATGTAGCTTGCAATTTCTCATCACATTTAGACCACATAAAAAACAATCATGAAGACTGAAAATCCTGAAATCAAGCATAATCCTAAAAACATTTACCCATATAAAATCTTTGCCAAAACTTCCCTTCAAATACACAGCTACTCATTTTGCTTACATGGCCATTACAACAAATGTTCACAAATGAAGAGGCCATGTGAAACCAGTCTTTGCTACTCACCACATCTTTAATCCTCTGTTCCAGCTGCTGTATCTCTGAGTGACCCTGGTCACCGTGCGTGGCCACAAATGTCCTCAGTTCGGCCAGTAACCCCTCTCGCTCCTTACTGAAGACAAAGTTGATGGCTTGGATCAGGCTGGCCCTCCAATCTGACTCTGCTCCTGATGACTGGAATATAACATCAATTTATTAAAGTGTTTTATCAAATAAAGGTATGCCAAATTTTCAGTAAATCTGAAGATATCCAGTATAAGGTTTTTTCTACAATTTATAAACCTAAATCGCAAATTGTGATTAGTTAATTTTTTTCTTTTTTTGAACATTTGCATCCAGCAGACAATTACATATCTTGAAATACTTAATGTTTGATAAATTTCATATGTGTTGGAAATTTGAGAGCAATTCTGACTGGCAGTTTTAATTTAATAGTCCTCAGCATATCTGCCTCATCTTAGTCACAAAATCACAAAGGCTACTATCAGTTTTATACATTAAATAGAGCAAAATGCTGCTCATTGAATAAAATAATATTTTGTTTGTCTGTAGTTTTACTTTCAAATCAATGCATAAAGCTACTTACAGCTTGTGATTCTGGTCTTTGAGTTTGAGCAAGTAAATCTTTGAGTGACTGTATAGAAGACAGCAGGTTTTGTCTCTCGTTTTCCCACGCCAGTCTCAGGGTGTCGAGGTCCGCCTGCAGTGGTGTGTGGCGACCCTGGGGTTTGATCTCTGACAGTGCCAGGAGCTCCATACCCTCACCATGGAGTTTGGTTAACAGACTCTGAACAGTGAGAAACACAAGATTAATACCGTGAAAACTATTTTATTCTAATGAATGTTTGAACTCTCCTAATGCTCCCCCCTCCAAAAAAAAAAAAAAAAAAAAATCAATCCTTCTACTGAAAGAGTTTTTTCTTAACATCTGTGTAAATATATTTTATACAATCTATCTATTTATACTCCATATTAATATAGATTAAGGGCCAATTAAGTCTCAGAAATGTTTCTGCTTCAAAGGGATTTCATGTCTTAAATCCTTCTGGTAAAATTTTATCTTATAGCTGCAAGATATGAAAAACATAATTTTCAAAATCATTTCCAGTAACTTATGAAAATCAAAACCAGCAGAAATGTCTTACTAAGGGGGTGAATGAATCAGAACCATACCCTTAGCCTTGGAGGTATCTCCTCTTGACTGGATTCCGCCATGCTGGTGTCAGTGCTGCCATCTCCCCCTACGCCTGCCTGTCGCTGCTGTTCAAGATGACTCAGCAGATTTTGGTCAAGCTGTTCTCCTTTCTCTATCTCCTTCTCCACTTGTCTCGCCAGTTCCGTCACGGATGCATCAGGAGCTGAAAAAGTCAGAGGAGATTATGCATATCACTGATAAGTATCACATATTTACTTTTATACTATTCAATTAAACACATGCTACGTACACATGCAGGCACTGAGCATTCTAACAATTGACTTACTTTTGTTGATCGTACAAATATGATATTACTATGTTGATAGTGCAAGTATGAATGTAAATATAGCACACAATGGCAATAAAATGGAATAAACAAGGTATCACTAGTAAATATAATTTAGTATACAGTCTGAAGACACATGAATTATATAAAGAGATCTGTAGCTGTGATATCAATCTGCTTAGAGAGTTTCACAGTTGTTCACTGAAGAATTTAACCAGTACTAGGTGTTATTTAGGTTAAAATGGTCCTCCAACTTACCCAGCATCTTCTGCAACTGTTCTACCTCTCTAGCATGCTCAGTGCGAAGTTCACGGATTTCGTTCTCGTGTGCCTCCTGCACCTCTTGACGTGTCACTGAGGTAACGTTCTTCAAGTCTCTCTGGTGCTGTTCCTGTAACTGCTCTACCTCCCTTTCCAGTTTCTCTTTTAATTCTTTTAACTTCACAGCAGTGTCTTTTTCTGCTGCCAGCTTCACGTGAGTTAACTGCTGCTCGTGTTCTAAAGTCAGCTCTTGGCGTAGTTCCTTCAGACGCTGAAAACACACAAACAAATCCATAGAAAAACATCAAAGCTAGTACAATAAATCTTCTGTAATAGAACCAAATGACAGACAAAATGTCTCAAATCTAAAAATATTACTCATGCAATTCTTAGTACATTAGTACATAATGTGCTGTGGTTATGGTGACATGAGTGTTACGATGAATTCTGCTCATATGGTGACATCATTTGGTCAGGTCTCCTTCTAGATTAATTTAGAACTGGTCTGAACATGCTTTAATTACAATGAAACTTCCATACCTGTTCCATAGTTCTTGCTGTGGTCCCAGCATCTCCCGCCTGGTAGACACTGAGCTGTGCTCGGGCTTCCAGAAGGTTCTTCTGCAGGCTGTGGATATCCTCTTTGCTCCTCGACTCTGCAGATGACAGCTCCCTCTGGTGGCTCCTTTTTAGATCCTCCACCACCTGTTTCGACAGGCCTAATTCATTCTTAACCTTTTCAAGCTGAGCTGTGTACTCCTGAATCTGATGCTCTTTTTCTCCGAGCTCAGCAACAAGGTTGTCTTTAGACTCCTGGTTCTGCCACTTGAGTTGTTGAATGTGGTCCTCTTTTTCTTTTAGCTCTTCAACAAGTTTGTCCTTTGTTTCTTGGAACTGGGCTTGGAGCTGCTGGATGTGCTGGTCTTTCTCTCCCAGATCTGACACAGTTCTAGTTAGCTTGTCTTGTGTGTCTTGGCACTGGGCGAGAAGTTGATCTTTTTCAGTCTCCAGTTGCTGGACCTTCAGCTTCAAGTCTGCTTCAGACTGTTGATCTTCATCCTATAATTGTTATATATTTTGAATTTTTATATTCAGGTGACTTAATTGTATATTAAGAAATTATTAATAAGAAATTAAAATTTTTATTTATCAAAAATATCTTTGCTCAATCTAACAGCAAACTAATTCAATTGTTCTTTTAATTTCAAAGCATCAATTTGTCCAACTTTACCATGATCTGTCCATTTGTCGACATCACTGCCTATTTGTCATAACAGTCAAACCAGTGACAAACACTTTTTTTAAACATTTTTTTAACTCCCTTCAATAATTTGCTTCCAACTGCTTGAACCAATCAAAACAAATCTGGTTAACAAGCTGTGTCAAGAATGGAGATCTGTTTAGACGACTCTCTTACTTAAAAGCCACCCCAATAAGTCAACTGGGATGAGACTTTTTGCCTCCCAAAAAGCCTGAAATCTGTGGATAGTTAGAAAAATCTCATTACAAGAACTGTTGCAAGCACCAACACCATACAAAGGGTCAGAAATTCACCAATAGCTGAAAAAAATTCATAAATATGTCAATTTCTCAAACAGGTGCAAAACAGGAAATTGATGTTGAAAAAGGACCTAGCGGGAAATTTTTTCAAACAGCATACCTGGGCAGGTGCCGCTGCCTCTTCTCTGGCAGCCTCAGATAGCTTCTTCTGCAGCTCTTCTATATCTTGTTCTCTTTGTTGAAGTTCTGCATTCTTCCTGTCAAGTTCTTCTGTTGCACGCTGTAGCTTGCCCTGAAGATCTTCCATACTCTTCTTGGTTTCTTCCTGGAGATACAGGAATGGAGAATTGCAATTATGACCATTACAAAAAGAGCATGTTGATTAAATTTTTCATAGGTCTTTAACCTAGAATAAAATAGGACTTCTTGGAATGGGCATGAAATACAGCATTTTACATCTTCAGCAATCTGTAGAATGTTGTATGATCTAAAATTTCCAAATGTTTGTCACAAAATTTTTCAAATTTCATTAAAAAAATTGAGTCTGCCTGCTGGCTGGTCGAAAACAGTCACAGATAAACTCTTTTTTTTTTCACTATACTCCAACAACTTTTGTAGCCATTGTATGAAATCCAGTCAAGATACAATGTTTTAATTCCAAGAAGTTTCATTTATGTGTAATACCAGGAACAGTGTGCGTAACACGAGAATTATGCCATTTTTCTTGTTTTCACTTTTATTCTGAATTACAAAGAGCAGTTGAACTTCAGTATAAAAGTACATTTACTACAATGAAAGCAGGGCAGGAAATTATTTATAAAAATTCTATTCGATGCACTCTATTTTAGCATTGTGTATAAAAGGTCAAGATGTATTTGCTTTGGAATTCATTATAATTCTAAACTTGGATATTTAAAACTTAAATTAAATCAAATACAAGTATCAGACTGATTCAGATCAAGAAAATTAACTTTCGATAGCCTATAAACATAAACTTGAAAGAGATGTTGAAAGGCAGTTCAAAATATTATAACAATCAAGTAAACAGAGAACATTTCAAAACAAAGTAAAACGTAATGAAAAAATAAAAGCAAAGACCAGCAAAAAAAATACAGTAAACTTAAATTTAAATGTTAAACAATAAAACCACAAGATGCATTTCACAATGTTCCAAACAAAAAAGCCCAGTTCACATCAAGACCAAATCAAACCAGAAACAGACTAACTGACATCACCAGATTATACTTGCATCCGTAGGCAGCTGAAAACCTCAATTTTCATATCTTATAACCAGACCCATTGGTGAAGTCAATTGGTCAATTTCTGGTCTAAGTTAGTCTCACTGTGAACAGTTCCAATGGGGTTATTACACAGGACAATTATCAGCAAATATGCCTAGATGTTTTTTCTAACATGCAAAAGCATTCTATGTAAAAGATAAAGCATGTGTAGCAGAGCTTTATGAAAAATAGAGGAAACAATTGGCAAGTTGAAGCTGACACAATTATCTCCACAATTTTGAGTAAAGCTTCATCACTAATGCTTTATCTGACTTAAAGCACAGTTTTATGGAGAAAACAAAAGTGTGTGCCCTGGCCTGTTCTCTGTACAAATCTGTGCCAAGACTCTACACAGAAATAAGCATAGCCCGACCTATTGTTTTCTGCCCAAACTATGGTTGAAGAGCAATTCAATACTGTTCAACACTTATTTCCCATGTTTCAACTTCCATGGAACTGTGTAACCACCAAGATGTTAAAATGTATCAACATATCATTCCCTATAATAAACCACTACGTTAAAATGCACCTTTTATCTGCATTTCTACACTCTTCTATACCAAATCAACCATAAAATAGCTCTAAAATTTCCTTTCTCAGATAAAATAAACTACAAATACTACTTAAATTTCCTTGAAAATGGACCATAGCCACAATTATAAAGCAAAAATCTTGTATCCTATAAGGAGACACTCACTATGTTCTGAGGTGCTTTCTTATTCCACGGCCGTCCTTGATTAATTTTGTCATCATGTCACCGTAACCCTACCTTCACCATAACTGACACCTGTTACGAGTCCTGCCACCCCTCCCTTCACCCAATTCACCCTTCTACCTTTGTTCCTTTATTGTGTATGGAGAGAGAGAGAGAGAGAGAGAGAGAGAGAGAGAGAGAGAGAAAGAGAGAGAGAAAGAGAGAGAGAGAGAGAGAGAGAGAGGGGAGGGAAGGAAGAGAGGGGGAGAAAGTGAGAAGGGAAATAGCAAGTGAGAGAAAGGGAGAGAGAGGGGGGCAGAGGGGGAGGGAGAGCCAGAGGCAACTCTTTTTTCCTCTTCTGAAGCATGTGTGCATGGCAAGTTCTATTTTGTGTTGTTAAAATTGTGGGCAGAAGGGTGGGTGGGTAGATTGCCTCCCTCCCCCCCCCCCCCCCCCAATTTCCCTTTGCCTCCAATTTCCTTTCTCAAAAGCCAACTCCCTTCATATCTCCTTTAAAAAAGCCTCCTCTACCCATATAAACCAAACACTAAAAAAAATCATGAGTAACAAACCACTATCACCCATTAATATTTTCTAAATCCTGACACCATCTATTACTTTTTAAAAACCCTTCAGTTTCAGGCTTCAAATTTCCCTTCACTTATGTTGAAAACGGAAAGTGATGTACAAAACTCCTGCATCTCCTATACCAAAAAGTCACAAGGCGTGTTCTATCCAAGCTCAAAAATGTTACAACTTGTACTCTGTATTAGTCAGTTAGTATCTTCCAAGGTTAAGCAAGCCTTGATGTGAACACACCATAACACTAATACTTATACTTCACTTCACAATGTGACACCAAGCACACACTTCAACCAGCAACTTTATGTGTTAGTATAATAACCACCAGTACGGTAATTCCTTCAAGTTTCAAACACCAAACTATTTCAAATTTTCAAATCCTTTATCCCTTATTTCAAAATTGAGAAAACAGGCTTTCTGGTACCCAAATAACTTTTTGGAAATTTTTCCTCAAATATATAAAAAAAATTACTGTTTCGGAAAATACAAGCAATTCAGATTGACTACATTGAAAAATCACCATAATAGTAATCGCATAACAATTGACACAACTACAGTAATACGACATTAACACCACAGCTGCCGACCATAGTGATACAGACCAACACGACAAAACTTAAGACCACAAACCATAACCATAAACACTAATTAAATCCTTATACCACAACCTTAGCCACTAATTAAATCCTAAGACCACAACCATAAAATTAAAGTTTTGACCACAACCATAAACAACCTAAAACCACAGCCTAAAACCATCATGATTAACAATTATGACAGCTGAATTGCCAGGGACGGCAGAGGGAGATAAATTGTCAAAACGAGACGACAAACTGACTGGAAATAAAATTGGATTATTAATGTATATCAGAAAAATCTGAAGGATAAAATGGCACATATGAAAACCTAACGTGACACATTTCTGTATCCATGCCATCTTTCTACTGAAAAAAGACCAGTTTTAGGAACTCAAGAATATCTCATGGTTTGCTAAAAATTTTGAATTCTAAAAATCTGCATTTACAACTGATTCTGCCACTAATTTACAGCAACATTCAAATTAAAGAGCCACAAATCTGCAATGCTGGAATATGGTTCAAATTTGTGAGAAAAAGAAAGATACATGACCAAGAATTGAAGAACGTACAGCTAGAGAATGGTACAATATTCATAAAAGATATTTTTGCAAATGAGAAATCAATTCCTTTATCAATTGATTTTAAGGCAGGAGACACAAGGAGACATAAGGGGCCCATGCACAGATAGTTTCTTCATGGCAAACTTATCAGTATCTGTATGGAAATAAACTTACAATTGTAAAAATACAAAATCAAAATTACTATCAGCTCAAAGCACAAGGTTTGCTTTTTTTTCAAAATGGCCTCCAATGGGTAATACAGCTATGAGGAAAAACATAAAGGGATATTACTATAACACAGCAAATCATATCACATCATGCAGGCCACATGAAGCAAAAGCCATCAACAATTGGAGGACATCAGTTCTTCAGCTAAGCGACAAGCTAGCTAAAACAGGGACAGATCCAGCCATATGAGCCAACAGTTCTCACTTCTCACTGACAGTTTTACAATATCACCCTGAGGTTCAGAATACTGACAGAAACTTGACATTATAATGGGAATGCTATGGAATGCTGATTACCAAGGCAAGTGCCCATAAGACTCTGAAAATCAGGGTGTTCAATTTATAGCCTTTGTCAAATTTGACTAGACATAAATCATAAAAAGACAGCAAAGCTGTCAAATATACAGACGGAAAGTAGAAAATAATGATGCACAAAATAGATTATTTTTTCAATTTTGATGCAATATTACATAATTTTTAATAGCAAAAATTACATTAAATCTATGTAATTTTATAAATGATGTGCCTGTACATAAAAATGATACTGAAGATAATTCTCACTGTCTTTTCTCAGAAAAATGAGACGATTGTCTAAATCGGCCCCTGAATAATCACAACTGCATGCTGGGAAACAGCACTAAGTTAGACATCGCACAGCACTGTTAGTTTCAACAGGACAAACTGCACTACGTTTTACCTTCTCCTCTAATTGCTCATTCAACACATACAGCTCTTCCTCTCTCTCATCTATTATATTTTGTCTTTCTTTCAACTCTTTCTCCAAGACAATAATGTGCTGTTCATACTGCAGCTACCCCAGGAGAAAAGAGAGAGAATAAAACATGTAGAGTTGGATTTGTAACCGCTACCAAGACAAAGACATATAGCATTAAACAGTTAGCAATAAATAAGTAGAATATATCATTAATCGATTAAATAAATAAATAAATAAATAAATAAATAAATAATAAGTGCACAAACTGGGCAAATTTCTTGAAAATGCTTTAAGATTCAATCTCTATTCAATCATCTGACACATAAAAACAAATAATTTGAAATCAGAAATCAGAATAAGAAATAAGAAATCCGCTTTGTGCAGTATTTTATATTTGTAAAGCTACATAGCTGGTAAAGTTCTTGAGACAATACTTTGATGATGAGGCAACAGTAAAAATAATAAATAGTGGTTTATTTTGAGAAAATAAATACTAAAATAAACAATAAATATAGATACTTTTTCACAAGAAACTTCACTCCTCAATAAAATCCTTGCCACATGCATTTCTTACCAGGAATGCACTTTCATAGTGAGTTTCTACAGTCAATCAATTTAGGCCTATAACTATCTAACTTTCATGTGGCTAAGTTATTTGTCCTTTTTTCCCTCTCCTCTCAAAATATTGATACATAAATAAGAGTATATAGTGCATGGTAACTCTGTTTACGTAACAAGGGAATCGAAAGTTTTAGATAAAGAATCAAAATTAATATGAAGAAATCCACAATTGTAGAGTTCAATCAAACAAAATATTTCAATGTTCAAAACTGAAAGGTCTTTATCAACATAAGATAAAGCTATCCCAACTTTCCCTTGATTTCATCATTTATTTAAAAAATGTCAAGGTTGTGAGGCCAAAATTTCAATATGACACTAAACTATATGGAGTGGTGTCAAAGTCCTGACACAGTGAATCCTAGGGCAAAAACAACTCCCAGAATTCCCCACAACAGGAAACAGGTCTGGTCATGTGACCCAGCACTGGGAGAACTCACACTATAGGGCCATGCACATTGCTCTACCTGCAGTTCAGGCGTGGCTCCCATGGGTCTTGCTTCCTCCAGTTCTTTGCTGAGGTTTTCGATCTCTTTCTGCTTCTCCTCCAACATTGTCTGAACGGTGTCGTAGTCTTCCTGCAGTTTGCTCTGAAATGCAAGAAGAGAGTGACATCAGGTTTGATAATTGCATTTCAATTTATTATTTTCAAAACTAAATATTTACATTCTACATAAACATCAAAGATGAAGTGTTCTTTGACAATCGTCCAATTTGTATTGAATATGTAACAAATTCCCAAAAACTATGAATCATATTAGCATTCAACTTTACTTTTGGTTGATGTCAAATGTTCGCTAATTCTAAAATAAAGAATCTATTGGCCCAAGACATAAGCCTCTTCTTTCTCTTTGTTCAAAATATGCAATATGTAAACTACTAACAATTTATCTTGGGGAAAAAGTGAGAAAAATTTGCTTTAAAAGTTAACACCAAAGGGGGGGGATATGGGGGTTCAAATGCACCACCTGTTTTTTTTTTTTTTGTTTTTTGTTTTTTTTTTTTTTTTGCTTTAAAAAGCATCACCCCAAATAAAAATTTGATCAATGTACACAAAGGTTGTGTAGTTACGACCACTTTTTCAGAAAACACCCCCCCCCCTTTTCAAATCACTGGCTCTGTGCCTGCAGTCTATAGTTCAGAAAACACCACAAGAGGTCACCTCTGTGGTGCTGAATTACCTGGAAATCAGTCAGGTTCTCCAGCTCTCCCTGTAGGCTCTCTATCTGCAGCGACATCTGCTCTATACTGGACTCCTTCTCCTGGAGAAGATCCGTCAGGTAGCTTGCCTCATCTGCCTGCTACAATTGTTATAATTATAATTATATTCATTTATATAAAAATTTTGAATCAATGATATATCAAAGTCCACACCAGATTTATCGATTTGTAGCACGTGTACACATTAAAACAGCAACACTTTCAGCACATACACATCCCTGGCTGTCAGCTTGCTTCACAGTATTATATTATTATAAAGTTATGCCCTATCCCTGGCTGTCAGCTTGCTTCACAGTATTATATTATTATAAAGTTATGCCCTAACTTTTGGTCATAAATCATAAAGACAGTGTGCATAACATGAGAATTGTGTTGTTTTCTCCTTTAAATTCTATTCTGAGTTACAAATAGCAGTTTCTCCAGCTCTCCTTGTAGACTCTCTATCTGTAGCGACATCTGCTCTATACCAGAGAAGGTATGTCAGGTAGCTTGCCTCATCTGCCTGCTACAATTATTACCGTAATTACAGGTGTATTTAATTCATTATCTATAACAATTTTAGTAAATAATATACTAAGCCACAACCCTAATCATTAATTTGTGATATATACATACACTACAAAAAAAAAAAAGCAATTTCATGACACACACACCCCTGAGCGTCAGCTTGCTTCAATAATTATAAAATTATGTCTTAACTCCTGGTCATAAATCATAGAAAATATCCGCTAAGTGTCTTCTAATGTAGGACATGAGAAAACTGCAAGTAAAGAGTCCACCTCATTCATTTTGACATAAAGGATAACTCATGTCCTCACCATTATACACCAGACTCGCACAACAGACCGTGACAAGATGCTCTGACACCATTATCTTGCTTCACCTGTAATTTCAATACACAGGTGAGGTTTACCTGTTTGTCTCTTGCCATCTGCTGTGTCTGCTGTAGCTGGGCGTTCAGATGTTCTATCTCTTCATTCTTCTCGGCCAGCAGGGCCTGTGCAAACTCGGGCATAGGGGTGGTGTCCACTTGCTCTCTCAGACGCTCAATATCAGCCTGAAAAAAACAAGTAGAGTCTGTTAAGTATCATGTAGAAAGGCTAGTGACAATGTGTGATGACACACACATGCTACTGAGGATCTCTGTCTAAATTTTTGATTTGTCATCCAACAGTTTCAGTGGATATAATATTATTAAGGAAAAATAAGCTGCCACCTGCTGTGAATTCCATTTCTTTGGTCAAGACCAAAATGGATGGCAGCAAAAACTGTTAGGACACAATAATTTTGAATTATATTTTACGAGGTGAACAATTTCCAAATACAATACACTGCAGCTTGAATTGTGGAAAGATTACTTTCCACAGCAAATTCTATAATCAGTTTTGAACGAGACCCTAACAACAAGCTTCAAAGGTTTTCTTTCATAGATTTCACTTATATGATATCTGAATTGCACTCTCCCCCCCTCACCACACACACACTCACAGTATGACTACCTACACTGTAGATACCATAACAGGCATGTATTTACTACCAGGGATACACACCTTGCCTTAATCACATTAAGTACACATTGTTAAAGGTGATACAGTTGACACAGTTTATCTCTTCCAGTAAATATGAACAATTTCCCTGACTGTGTCTCCTTGCCCACTGTGTGCCCCCTGGTTTATCTAAGATTTAAAATTTGGACCATCTCATGAGAATTACAACTGCCAGTCAGAATTTTTAAAATATAAATTGTAGTGTAACAGGATGGTTTTGGTCTCTAAACTGACAGTTTGATACCTAAACACAACAGTTTCTCAATCACCTAGATCAATGATGTGCCTGAACTGTGCCTTAATATTAGGAATTCACAGTAGCTTGTACTTGCCTCGTATATATATATCCCACCACCTGCTAGTACTTGTACACCAGCACATACACACACACACAAATAAAAAATCACATTTTAATATCCCAGTCTAGGCCTGCCTTTGCTCTCTGGCCCTCTACCATTCACACCAGTGCATAATACAACTTTTAGCCTTCCCTCCAATCTGATAACCGCTGAAGTAGAGGTGGAAATAACAATAGTGTTACGCTGACTGGGGCTTACAGCTGGGGTTTTCATTCAGTGAAAGGAGGCAATGTGTACAGTTACCTGTTGGGTGCTTTTGTTAACTTTGACCTCTTTTCATGCAGCCTTCACCCGTTTTGTTTATTAGTACACATGCTTTTCTTTGTTGTTTGTGATACCCTCTTGTACAGCTTTTACTCTTGATTTGTTTGTTTCATTCGACTATAACTTTAATTTTTTTATTTTGATTTTCTATTAATTTATGTTTACCTTTAGTACAAATCTACATTTTTTACTTTCATCTATCTTGTTTCATTTGTTACCTGCTAGACTAGTACAACTTTCACCTTTGCCTCACTTGTTTCTGATCTACCCTCTAGTACAAGTTAACTTTCACTTGTCTCACTTGTTTTTGATCCTCCCTCTGGTACAACTTACACTCTTGATATTCCCTCGCTGCATATTATACTGCCTTCTTGACTTGTCTTATTTCATTTCCACTGTTGCATCTTTCAATTTTCACAATACTAACCAGTAGTGCATTTTTCCATTCACTGAAAATGTTCTCTCTTCCAACTACCCTCTAGTACACATGTGCAGCTTGACTGACTTTTTTTAAATCTGCAACCCACAACTCTTGAATTCTACATTCATGCTACTCTCTGGCACATATGTGCAACTGTCACTCTTGACTATCTTGTATATTTTCTCCTCTGATACAACTTTCATTCCTGATTACCTGTTTAAACTACCCTTTTGCTTGCATGTACAACTCTTTAGTGACTTGTTTATACTACATTTACTGCACAGACAACTTTTATTCCTGATGGCCGTGCTTCTTACCCTCTAATACAGTTGTAATATATATTTTTATTTTCTATAAAAATGCTACATTTAACAGCATGACATACATTTTCCTGTAACCCAAGGGTTAAAACACACTTCACCTAGAGTTACACTATTTTTTTCTTTCTTTCTTTTATTTATTTATTTATTTATTTTTACCCTTTCTAAGTCCATCCATTTATTTTGAGTACATTTCACTCCTGTAATTTCAAACAAGAAGGGACTATTCCTGGCACTCACCATCAGCCTTCATTTTCAACTTACTTGCTTCTTACCCTCTTATACAGATGTCAGTTTAATTATCTTTTATATTTATGCTACCTTTAGAGCACTTTGACCCCATTTCCAGAATTTAGATCGATCTACTTTAGATCGACCTAACTCCCTAGGGGATCACGCTAAATAGCTGTCAGCCAAGCGGAGACAAAAGTTAATTACCCCCTTACAGCTTGTAGTAGGCGGGACGGACATTTAAGCCGGATTATCTGACAGTAATCTAGTGAGACTCCCCGCGGGGATAGATCGATCTAAAAGCTCTGGGAATACAGCCTTTGTGCCTCCCTGTCACCAATATTTATAACACACCTCACCGAGAGTAGCACTATTTTTTCTTTTTTTTTTCTCCTTTCTGAGTCTGTCCACTTAGTTAAAGCACATTTTACCTCTTAAATTCCCCCAAAAAGACTGGACTACTCCAGCCACTCACCATCAACTTTCTTCTCTCCGTCTCCAGCTCCTCCATCTTCTCCGCCTTCTCCAGACCAGACTGGTCCATCTCATTCTTGGTGAGCTCTAGCTGAGCTGTCAACAGACTGATCTGCTCGTCTCTGTCAGCCAGCTGGGTCTTCAGACTGCCAAGATCCTGCTCCAGCTCCTCCAACTGAAATAGAAACAATTTGTACTCAATTTGTGTCATAAGAAGTTATTATTATTATTATTATTATTATTATTATTATTATTATTATTATAATTAAGGTAATTACTCACTGTTTTCAAATAGAGTAAATTGTAAATTTTTTTAAAAATCATATATATGAAAGTTTGATAATTTTGCTCAATGAAAAGATCCAGTCATTAACGTATAAGCATCATTTTTATTACCATTATTATCATTAATATTATTCAGGGGCAGATTGAGGCCGTCTTCTGGGTCTGGAAGACGGTCAGATATTTCAAGTTTTCATTGATGGGCATCTAACGTTTTCTGTCAGAAGACAGTCGAAAATGGAGGATGGCTCAACAAAGATAACTTACAAAACTGTCAGAAAATATCTCTGGATCCGCCCCTGTTATTATTATCATCACCACATCATCATTGTCTGTTCTTCTCGGCCAATGCCTCCTTCCCTTCATTCTATGATTATTATTTGTATTATCATTATTATCATTATCATCCTCATTATCATCATCACCATTATTATATCATCACATCATCACCACCCACCTGTCTGTTCTTCCCGTCCAGTGCGTCCTGCCCCTCCTCCAGCTGTGTGGTCAGTAGCTGGACCCTGTCCACCCCGGGGTCAGCCACACCGCTGTGTCTCTGCTCCTCTAGCTGAGACTTGAGGGAGGAAATCTGGACCAGCTGGTCACACACCTGTTGTTGGAGGGCGTCCTTGTCATGGGTCAGCTCCTGGAGGAGGACGAGGAGGAAGTTCTAAGTAGTATTGTGTTACTTGAAATTGCTTTGTCTTTTTTACTATTTTTCAAAATTGTACAGAGAGCATTTACCCCTTTCTCAAGTGTACTGTTTGTAGACTTGTAAAAATAATGAAAAAAAAATAGATGACTCCTCATGTAGCAGTTAATCTTCAATTTATTTTCAATGGTTTTACTTAGGCTGTATTAACTTCCAGTTGAAATTTTCATGGTTTTGAACGTTTTTATTATAGTGTCTTTAACAGAATGTACTAGGTAAGTGTCATTCTATCCTTATATTGTCATCCTATTTTACTCAAATAAAAGATATGATTCTAATAAAAGATATGTTGATTGCCAATAAAGTTATACCAACCTGTTCCAGCTGGCGCTGTTTCTTCAACTCTGTTTCCAGTTCTTCTTTCCGCTGCCTCAGAGTCTGCTCTGAGCTTGTCTTGATCTCTAGCTGGTTCTCCAGGTCCTCCACCCGCTCACTGCTGCCCTCTGCTGGCAGAGTTTTCAACTCCTGGGTCAGCTTCTCAATGGCGGCTTGAGCCTCAGAGAGCTCCTCCTCAAGACCAGTCACTCTCTGTGTTAGAAAAATGCAATTAACAGAGAATAGCATAAATTCATATACAAAAATTACTATCTTTTAAATCAGCAAAAATAAAGATACCACCTAAAGTTAGCTGCAATATTTTTCTAATAGGCAGTTGCAAATGAATACCCTATGTCTGTTAAAGAGCTGAAAAACCCAAAATGAATGCTGAAAAAGATGCCCTCTGTTTTCTCTGTTCTCTTAAATCAGTCATGAAATCTATAGCCCTAAAAGGTGTTCTTTAAATTCTCCTCCTTTCATTACTATACTAAGCAATTTGTACACCACCCTCCCCACCATCTCCATCCTCCTCCTCCTCCTCACTTACCTGTAACGCCTCCTGTTCAGCAGTGGCCTTGACCTCCAGTTCGTGCTCCAGGTGATCAATAGTGGAGCGCAGTTCCTGGACGTTGACGTCTTTCTCCTCCAGGTCCTTCTGGAGCTTGTCTTGCTGCTGGCGAGCCTCCGTCTGAGTCTCACTGCGCTCCTGTAGGGCTTCCTCCAACTCTTCAACCTAATCNTACCCAGGTTCTTCTAATATTTTACCTGTCACTGATGCATGGGAGAGGGAACATAACCACAGACTCACATATTCAGTTCCAAGTCTAAAAGTCCTTTATTAAGTCCAAGCATTCAGCCTTTATACACATTATCTCCAGAGAATCTCTCTGCATGCCACAGTGGCAGCAACTCATTTAAATACTAATTGCAATGCAATAGATAACAATTGAGGGCTTCTACTTTTAAGTTATATCAGTTCTACTTATCAGGTATACCTATACAGAGGATGATAAATATTCATTCAAGACTAAAGTAAGGTGAATGATAATATGCTGACTGATTACAAGTATAAACATAATATGTAAATGAGTGATTTCATCACATGCATTTAGTGGTCCTTAACAAAAGACAATTTAGAAAACTGTCAGAAAATATCTCCGGATCAGCCCCTGTTATCATCATCACCACATCATCACCACCCACCTGTCTGTTCTTCCCGTCCAGCTCCTCCTTCCCCTCCTTCTATTATTATTATTATTATTATTATTATTATTATTATTATTATTATTATTAACATCATCACATCATCGCCACTTACCTGTCTATTCTTCCCTTCCAGCTCCTCCTGACCCTCCTCCAGCTGTGTGGTCAGTAGCTGGACCCTGTCCACCCCGGGGTCAGCCACACCGCTGTGTCTCTGCTCCTCTAGCTGAGACTTGAGGGAGGAGATCTGGACCAGCTGGTCACACACCTGCTGCTGGAGGGCGTCCTTGTCATGGGTCAGCTCCTGGAGGAGGATGAGGAGGAAGTTCTAAGTAGTATTGTGTTACTTGAAATTGCTTTGTCTTTTTTACTATTTTTCAAAATTGTACAGAGAGCATTTACCCCTTTCTCAAGTGTACTGTTTGTAGACTTGTAAAAATAATGAAAAAAAAAATAGATGACTCCTCATGTAGCAGTTAATCTTCAATTTATTTTCAATGGTTTTACTTAGGCTGTATTAACTTCCAGTTGAAATTTTCATGGTTTTGAACGTTTTATTATAGTGTTTTTAACAGAATGTACTAGGTAAGTGCCATTCTATCCTAATATTGTCATCCTATTTTACTCAAATAAAAGATATGATTCTAAGGGCATGTTAATTGCGAATAAAGTTATACAAACCTGTTCCAGCTGGCGCTGTTTCTTCAACTCTGTCTCCAGTTCTTCTTTCCGCTGCCTCAGAGTCTGCTCTGAGCTTGTCTTGATCTCTAGCTGGTTCTCCAGGTCCTCCACCCGCTCACTGCTGCCCTCTGCTGGCAGAGTTTTCAACTCCTGGGTCAGCTTCTCAATGGCGGCTTGAGCCTCAGAGAGCTCCTCCTCAAGACCAGTCACTCTCTGTGTTAGAAAAATGCAATTAACAGAGAATAGCATAAATTCATATACAAAAATTACCATCTTTTAAATCAGCAAAGATAAAGATACCACCAAAAGTTAGCTGCAATATTTTTCTAATAGGCAGTTGCAAATGAATAACCTATGTCTGTTAAGGAGCTGGAAAACACAAAATAAATGCTGAAAAAGATGCCCTCTGTTTTCTCTGTTCTCTAAATTTCAGACATGAAATCTATAGCCTTAAAAGGTGTTCTTTACATTCTCCTCCTTTCATTACTATAATAAGCAATATGAACACCACCCACCCCACCATCTCCATCCTCCTCCTCCTCACTTACCTCTAACGCCTCCTGTTCAGCAGTGGCCTTGACCTCCAGTTCACGCTCCAGATGGTCAATGGTGGAGCGCAGTTCCTGAACGTTGACGTCTTTTTCCTCCAGGTCCTTCTGGAGCTTGTCTTGCTGCTGGCGAGCCTCCGTCTGAGTCTCACTGCGCTCCTGTAGGGCTTCCTCCAACTCTTCAACCTAATCAGGGGGAATAATAATAATAATAATAATAATAATAATAACGACAGCAATAATATTTGACCCCCCCTTCCCAAACTACCAAACCTCCGCCTGCTAAGTACATTACTTCAATTGAAATTGAATTGACCCTTTCGACGCTTACACGTGGAAATATATTGACTTAAAGAGGATAATCATGTTTGACGTTGTACCTTAGTTACAGAAAGAAAAATAAACAGCAAGACTTGAACTCAAAATGTCAAAGAAATAAATACAAACAAACTTAGAAGGCGAGAGAGTACTAGTATATAAGACCAGGCATCAAACTGTTTTCATATATACAGCACTATACCACACTGTATTTATATATACTGCACTTTTTTATACAATCCAACTTTTGTTATATTTTGTTAGTTGCAAATAAACTTATTTTTTATTATTATTATACTATTAAATAATAAACCTGCCTCTCTTTTCAGCCTCTGTCCAGTGGTCAAGTGTTTCTCCTTCTCCTTCAAGGCCTCCTTCAGCTTGAGGACCTCTCTCTGGTAGTCGTCCCTCTCCTGTTCTCTCTCCACTGCCTGGCTCTACAACACAGTAACATATAAAGTATAAGAAATTGCCAGCATTAAATAGATCTTAGACCTACATCTTATTGTCCTGGTCTATCCATTTTCTATTCTCTGTATTTTTTTTAAATTTAATATGAATTATTGGCTAGACAGTAAAGCTGACAAATATACAGACACCATACAAGAAACAATGCNTTATTATTATACTATTAAATAATAAACCTGCCTCTCTTTTCAGCCTCTGTCCAGTGGTCAAGTGTTTTTCCTTCTCCTTCAAGGCCTCCTTCAGCTTGAGGACCTCTCTCTGGTAGTCGTCCCTCTCCTGTTCTCTCTCCACTGCCTGGCTCTACAACACAGTAACATATAAAGTATAAGAAATTGCCAGCATTAAATAGATCTTAGACCTACATCTTATTGTCCTGGTCTATCCATTTTCTATTCTCTGTATTTTTTTTAAATTTAATATGAATTATTGGCTAGACAGTAAAGCTGACAAATATACAGACACCATACAAGAAACAATGCAGCAAAGCTGACAAATGTTCAGACATTCAGACGCAGAAAAGAGTGCACCAAATAATGTTTTGGTCAATTTCGATGCACTATTACATAATGCTTTAAAACAGCACAATCACTCTTACCCTCAAGGACACCTACACAATGTAAAAGTATTTATCGCTACCCTAGCAGATGAATGTTAGTGCTAGGAATTGCTATGGTAGTGGTAAATACTTTTACAGTGTGTTGGTTTATTCATTGGTTATGTGGTTTATATGGATGTTAGTGCTAAAAAATCTGCAGGTAGTGTTAGTAAACGCCTAATCCATTTATATGGCCTGATATTTACCTCCATGAACTGTTTATTGGCCTTGATCTGTTTCTCCATGGCCTCCACCTGTCTAGTCAGGTCTTCTATCTCCAGTTTCTTGGCCTCCAGGAGGTCCTCCAGTCGCAGCCTCTCCTCTTCCACTGCCGTCTCCAACTGCTGAACGTGTGCCTCGTACTCCTGCTTCTCTTTCCCATGTTGCTTCAGCAGGTCTCGCCTCTCTTGACTCAGCCGAGCGTTCTCCTTGAGTAGCTCTGTAATGATATGGCATAGCTTTGCTTGTCACATATAGCATCACATGACATCATACAGTAGTTCCTCTCATCTAAGACAACCTTATTATTTCAGACTTTTGAAATTCAGGCTACATAATAATTATTATTATTATACGTATCAGTCTGATTACTTTACAAGGGATTTCAAAATTTGGAGGTATTGCAGTTTCCCTGAGGTTATATATTACAACACAAATACACCTGAGCCACCATAATTTGATTTTTCTCTAAAAATAAAACACCATTTAGCCAGAATCCCTTTGTTTTTCATCAAATCCACACCACATCAAAACCCTAAGTATGGGATTAACTGAATGATAAAAAATCTCCCCACTTTTATTTAGAACCACAAAATGTCAAAGGCCGCATTCAGAACAGTGAACTAACTAGTCCTCAGGTCAAATATAGTGAACCACTAAAAAGCTTGCCATCTAGTCCTCTGATAGACACTGAATAGACTCCCCATGGGGAAGTATTCAAGTGGGTCGGCCATATTTGACTAGTAAGTCTACTGTTCTAAATATGGCCAAAGGACACCCATAAATTTTTCTTGTTTTCAAAATAATACCCCTTAAATATTTCTTTTTCATTCACAGATTAAATACATTTTAAAACAAATTAAGAAGAGAAGATAGCTGGAATGAAAGTCAGTATTAATGGAAAAGATATTGTGGATTAGTATTAAACACCAAAAATATATACCCAAAACCTACACTAGTGCAGTTCAAATTCTCTGAATTGGTAATTTTCAAAAAGATGACATTTATATCCCTACAAGTCCTTGCACTTTGAAACCTTTTTTTATTGAGGGAGAATTTATACCCAAGTAAGGTCTTTTTCTAATTCAGGCCTTTTGGACTGCACTAGCAATAACTACTAGCTAAATATAAGCTCTTAGGCACCTCTATAAAACCCACTTAGCTACCACATAAAGTATATGAATATATAAAAAATGCTGATAATTTCAAAGTTCAACCACTTCAACCATTTTAAAGATATTGCAATGAAATTGGAAATGAGCCTACTACCCATATTTATACGTCTGAACAATTCACATGTTAATGACAACTTCGTGAAGTAGGCTTTTCATTGTTCAGTGAGTAAAAAGTTGGACTGTTTTCTGTTTTTGTAGATTCTGGGGCCTGCTTCACAAAAAGACTCAAGTCAAAGACTGGTAATGGCAAAGACTGTTCCAAAGTTCTGTTTTTTTAATCCAACCCTCAATCAAATTGTTGTTGGCAATGATTTTTCCCTTTAGTGCTGTTAACTACATTAAAAGTGACCCAAACTTTCCCAAAATGCTCTAGAACCAACATCACAAAATCAAACTCACATAGCTGGCTATCTAATCTTAGCAGTCTAAGCTAAATCCAAAACAAAAAAAAAAACTCTTTGCAAAACAGGCCTCTGAGAACAATTCAACAAACCTTGCTGGTGCACAGGCAGGTTTTCCCCTACACTGGGTGACGCGGTGTCAGAGTGAACGGCCAGAACTTCTGCATGCCAAACAACAGGAGTGTGAAAGAGGAAAGGAATACAAAACTAAGTCAAAATGCAGCACAATGCACAAAAAGTAGGGTGTCATTCCATAGTGTTGTCCCTCTGTTATATTTTTATCATCTCTGTAAGATTGTTTACAACTTCTATTCCTTAAAATTTTGTTCTGAAAGCCATATTCAGAACAGGAGACTAATAGATTCACCGGTCAAATATGGTCGAACCACTTGAAAGCTTGCTGCATAATCCCCTCAGGAAATCTATTCAGAGTCTAAACCTGAATTAAGCAGCAAGCTTTTTAGTGGGTCGGCATATTTCATCTGCAAATCTGTTAGTCCGCTGTTCTGAATATGCTTTAAGTGTTCCAAATGTTTTTTGTTTTTTTTTTCTGCAGAGATATATGGTGAGATGAAAGGTTAACAAACGGGCATTTAGTAAACACTATCAAATGGCACCATATTTGAACAAAGCATTGTGGGTATGCTGGATAAAAAGGGTCCCCACAATGCTCACAGAAGGTTCAGAAATGCACGAACTTAAACTGGAAATTATATTACTAGCATCACAAAACGACAAGATCACAAAAATAACTACTAGTAAAAAAATTCATCAATCTGTCCCCCCCCCCCAATGATGTAATTTAGACTAGTTCCAGTTTAAGTTAGTACTTATCTGAGTGTATCTTATAACTGATTTCAAATAAAAGAACTACAGACAAAATGTCATGCCATTTTTGCTGCATTTGTTACAGTAAATATAGTTCATGCTATGATCATAATGTACTAATGAAAACTGAAATAAATATAAGGGAGAGAAAAGAAAATTTAAATATAATGTTGCTACAATTCTCTTTTTTTTTCAGAAAACTGATAAAAACAAGGCAGCAAAGCTGTCAAATGGACAGACATATTACAAAACTGGCAGGAGCAGTGATATCTACTAAAACCATATAAAATGTTGAACAACCATTTTGAAAATGGCAGTGCATGGAATATGATTGAGAATAAAAAAAAAAAAAAAAAAAAAAAAAAAAAAC